AAAGGGCCAAGTACAAAAAACCGCTGATTCTCTTGAAAATTAAAAAGAAAAAATTGTAATTCATTTATTGTGGGTTGTGCCACGACGAGACCATCTGAAAATGATATATAGGCGACTAATGTACACTACGCCGTGCTCAAAACCATTTGCCGGTCCGTAGGGAAAGGGCCAGATTCAAAAAACCGATATTTTACCTAAAATTAGACAGAAAAAAAATCGCCATTAATTTATTAAGAGCTGTGCCAGAACGAGACCATCTGGAAATGATGTACAGGTGACAGGGGTATACTACCCCGTATTCAAAATCATTTGCCGGTCCGTGGAAAAAGGGCCAAGTACAAAAACCGCTGATTCTCTTGAAAATTAAAAGAAAAAATTGTAATTCATTTATTAAGGGTTGTGCCAATGACGAGACCATCTGAAAATGATATATAGGCGACTAATGTACACTACGCCGTGCTCAAAACCATTTGCCGGTCCGTAGGGAAAGGGCCAGATTCAAAAAAACCGATATTTTACCTAAAATTAGACAGAAAAAATCGCCATTAATTTATTAAGAGCTGTGCCAGAACGAGACCATCTGGAAATGATGTACAGGTGACAGAGGTATACTACCCCGTATTCAAAATCATTTGCCGGTCCGTGGAAAAAGGGCCAAGTACAAAAACCGCTGATTCTCTTGAAAATTAAAAGAAAAAATTGTAATTCATTTATTAAGGGTTGTGCCACGACGAGACCATCTGAAAATGATATATAGGCGACTAATGTACACTACGCCGTGCTCAAAACCATTTGCCGGTCCGTAGGGAAAGGGCCAGATTCAAAAACCGATATTTTACCTAAAATTAGACAGAAAAAAAAAATCGCCATTAATTTATTAAGAGCTGTGCCAGAACGAGACCATCTGGAAATGATGTACAGGTGACAGGGGTATACTACCCCGTATTCAAAATCATTTGCCGGTCCGTGGAAAAGGGCCAAGTACAAAAACCGCTGATTCTCTTGAAAATTAAAAGAAAAAAATTGTAATTCATTTATTAAGGGTTGTGCCACGACGAGACCATCTGAAAATGATATATAGGCGACTAATGTACACTACGCCGTGCTCAAAACCATTTGCCGGTCCGTAGGGAAAGGGCCAGATTCAAAAAACCGATATTTTACCTAAAATTAGACAGAAAAAAAATCGCCATTAATTTATTAAGAGCTGTGCCAGAACGAGACCATCTGGAAATGATGTACAGGTGACAGGGGTATACTACCCCGTATTCAAAATCATTTGCCGGTCCGTGGAAAAAGGGCCAAGTACAAAAAACCGCTGATTCTCTTGAAAATTAAAAGAAAAAAATTGTAATTCATTTATTAAGGGTTGTGCCACGACGAGACCATCTGAAAATGATATATAGGCGACTAATGTACACTACGCCGTGCTCAAAACCATTTGCCGGTCCGTAGGGAAAGGGCCAGATTCAAAAACCGATATTTTACCTAAAATTAGACAGAAAAAAATCGCCATTAATTTATTAAGAGCTGTGCCAGAACGAGACCATCTGGAAATGATGTACAGGTGACAGGGGTATACTACCCCGTATTCAAAATCATTTGCCGGTCCGTGGAAAAGGGCCAAGTACAAAAACCGCTGATTCTCTTGAAAATTAAAAGAAAAAAATTGTAATTCATTTATTAAGGGTTGTGCCACGACGAGACCATCTGAAATGATATATAGGCGACTAATGTACACTACGCCGTGCTCAAACCATTTGCCGGTCCGTAGGGAAAGGGCCAGATTCAAAAAAACCGATATTTTACCTAAAATTAGACAGAAAAAAAATCGCCATTAATTTATTAAGAGCTGTGCCAGAACGAGACCATCTGGAAATGATGTACAGGTGACAGGGGTATACTACCCCGTATTCAAAATCATTTGCCGGTCCGTGGAAAAAGGGCCAAGTACAAAAACCGCTGATTCTCTTGAAAATTAAAAAGAAAAAATTGTAATTCATTTATTAAGAGTTGTGCCACGACGAGACTATCTGGAAATGATATATAGGCGACTAATGTACACTACGCCGTGCTCAAAACCATTTGCCGGTCCGTAGGGGAAAGGGCCAGATTCAAAAAACCGATATTTTACCTAAAATTAGACAGAAAAAAATCGCCATTAATTTATTAAGAGCTGTGCCAGAACGAGACCATCTGGAAATGATGTACAGGTGACAGGGTATACTACCCCGTATTCAAAATCATTTGCCGGTCCGTGGAAAAAAGGGCCAAGTACAAAAACCGCTGATTCTCTTGAAAATTAAAAGAAAAAATTGTAATTCATTTATTAAGAGTTGTGCCATGACGAGACTATCTGGAAATGATATATAGGCGACTAATGTACACTACGCCGTGCTCAAAACCATTTGCCGGTCCGTAGGGAAAGGGCCAGATTCAAAAAACCGATATTTTACCTAAAATTAGACAGAAAAAAAATCGCCATTAATTTATTAAGAGCTGTGCCAGAACGAGACCATCTGGAAATGATGTACAGGTGACAGGGGTATACTACCCCGTATTCAAAATCATTTGCCGGTCCGTGGAAAAAGGGCCAAGTACAAAAAACCGCTGATTCTCTTGAAAATTAAAAGAAAAAAATTGTAATTCATTTATTAAGGGTTGTGCCACGACGAGACCATCTGAAAATGATATATAGGCGACTAATGTACACTACGCCGTGCTCAAAACCATTTGCCGGTCCGTAGGAAAGGGGCCAGATTCAAAAAACCGATATTTTACCTAAAATTAGACAGAAAAAAATCGCCATTAATTTATTAAGAGCTGTGCCAGAACGAGACCATCTGGAAATGATGTACAGGTGACAGGGGTATACTACCCTGTATTCAAAATCATTTGCCGGTCCGTGGAAAAAGGGCCAAGTACAAAAAACCGCTGATTCTCTTGAAAATTAAAAAGAAAAAATTGTAATTCATTTATTAAGGGTTGTGCCACGACGAGACCATCTGAAAATGATATATAGGCGACTAATGTACACTACGCCGTGCTCAAAACCATTTGCCGGTCCGTAGGGAAGAGGCCAGATTCAAAAACCGATATTTTACCTAAAATTAGACAGAAAAAAATCGCCATTAATTTATTAAGAGCTGTGCCAGAACGAGACCATCTGGAAATGATGTACAGGTGACAGGGGTATACTACCCCGTATTCAAAATCATTTGCCGGTCCGTGGAAAAAGGGCCAAGTACAAAAACCGCTGATTCTCTTGAAAATTAAAAGAAAAAAAATTGTAATTCATTTATTAAGAGTTGTGCCATGACGAGACTATCTGGAAAAATATATAGGCGACTAATGTACACTACGCCGTGCTCAAAACCATTTGCCGGTCCGTAGGGAAAGGGCCAGATTCAAAAACCGATATTTTACCTAAAATTAGACAGAAAAAAATCGCCATTAATTTATTAAGAGCTGTGCCAGAACGAGACCATCTGGAAATGATGTACAGGTGACAGGGGTATACTACCCCGTATTCAAAATCATTTGCCGGTCCGTGGAAAAAGGGCCAAGTACAAAAAACCGCTGATTCTCTTGAAAATTAAAAGAAAAAAATTGTAATTCATTTATTAAGAGTTGTGCCATGACGAGACTATCTGGAAATGATATATAGGCGACTAATGTACACTACGCCGTGCTCAAAACCATTTGCCGGTCCGTAGGGAAAGGGCCAGATTCAAAAAACCGATATTTTACCTAAAATTAGACAGAAAAAAAATCGCCATTAATTTATTAAGAGCTGTGCCAGAACGAGACCATCTGGAAATGATGTACAGGTGACAGGGGGTATACTACCCCGTATTCAAAATCATTTGCCGGTCCGTGGAAAAAGAGCCAAAGCACAAAAACCGCTGATTCTCGTGAAAATTAAAAGAAAAAAAATTGTAATTCATTTATTAAGGGTTGTGCCACGACGAGACCATCTGAAAAAATGATATAGGCGACTAATGTACACTACGCCGTGCTCAAAACCATTTGCCGGTCCGTAGGAAAGGGCCAGATTCAAAAACCGATATTTTACCTAAAATTAGACAGAAAAAAAAATCGCCATTAATTTATTAAGAGCTGTGCCAGAACGAGACCATCTGGAAATGATGTATTAGGTGACAGGGGTATACTACCCCGTATTCAAAAATCATTTGCCGGTCCGTGGAAAAAGGGCCAAGTACAAAAACCGCTGATTCTCTTGAAAATTAAAAGAAAAAATTGTAATTCATTTATTAAGGGTTGTGCCACGACGAGACCATCTGAAAATGATATATAGGCGACTAATGTACACTACGCCGTGCTCAAAACCATTTGCGGTCCGTAGGAAAGGGCCAGATTCAAAAAACCGATATTTTACCTAAAATTAGACGAAAAAAATCGCCATTAATTTATTAAGAGCTGTGCCAGAACGAGACCATCTGGAAATGATGTACAGGTGACAGGGGTATACTACCCCGTATTCAAAATCATTTGCCGGTCCGTGGAAAAAGGGCCAAGTACAAAAAACCGCTGATTCTCTTGAAAATTAAAAGAAAAAAATTGTAATTCATTTATTAAGAGTTGTGCCACGACGAGACTATCTGGAAATGATATATAGGCGACTAATGTACACTACGCCGTGCTCAAAACCATTTGCCGGTCCGTAGGGAAAGGGCCAGATTCAAAAAACCGATATTTTACCTAAAATTAGACAGAAAAAAAATCGCCATTAATTTATGAAGAGTTGTGCCAGAACGAGACCTAGTAAAATAATAATTTAGTAGTGAGAGTGAGTTCGAACAATAAATAAGAGAACCATGGATCGTGCCGCTTTCGATAATGAAAAAATTATAAGCTGTGTATTCCCTGTATATGTAATGTAGTTTATTTAGTTTTGAAGACTTACATGTAAATTTTCCGAACCATGATTGAGACCAATTATACGAATTTTATGATCTTCTTAATTGTAAAAATTTTAGATTTCCTAAAGATCCAGAGAAAAAAAAACTTTGGTTTGGATTGGTTGGCATTTCTGAAAATGACCCATTACCCAAGTATCCAGAGTTGTGTTCTGATCATTTCAATCCCGATGATCTGGAGGTCAGAGCAAACGGTTTCAGATACGTTAAAAAGAATGCTAATCCACGCCGTTCAGAAGGCTTGCTATTTCTAGATGATGCTTCGTCAAGGTAATTACTTTGTTTTCTGCGTTATTAGTATCAAGTCTTAAATAAGTGCAAATATTTTCAGGGGTGGTTATATTTTGCCCCAGGAACACGTCTATGAGGTTTTTTTCGCAAAAAAATGATGTTGAAAATCGTGCATTTTGTTTTAAATTTCCCTGTATATTTTTCGAAAACTTTTTAGAACTGCCCGTTCACCCCAAATTTTCCCACGGTATAATTTTTTAATCTCTGATATTACCATAGTTACGGCTTTACTCTATGGTTACGGCACTAAAAGAGATGCAAATCCGGAAAAAATCCGGTGACTCAAATTTTTTTCAAAAAAAGATAATTTTTTTTAAATTTTCAAACTTAAATAACTCAATGTATATAATCAAAAACCTTTCTACACGATCTTGAGAGTATGGTTTCAAAAATTTTACTCATAATGCTCTGTCTATAAAGACAAGACACTTAACACAAGAATAAAAAATATATTAATACAAATATTATTTTAATTTGTTAATAAAAAAAACTGTATACCTAAATATTATATTTTATTCTTGTGTACCAAACGGAAACTACTTGTCAGAAGTTAGGTTTACAGTTGTACAAATTTGCCTAAAGGTACATTCAGGCTGAGAGCGTCGAGCGTCGCGTCGCGTTTGCGTCGCGTTGTGGAATGCAAAATTGCCACAATATAGAAACAGAAATCTGCATGATCAGCTACTTGAAGAAATAGTTACAATTTTAGGTATTTCTAGTAAGATTTTTTTCACAGTATGGGCAAATATATGAGAGCTGACACAGAACATCAGAATAGGTGACGCCGGCATAAAAGAAACACATATATACAAATATCTCGGGCACGAAATACAAATCGGAAAGAACAACCAAACACACGAGATACAGCGCAGAATAGGTTTGGGTTGGGCTGCTTTTGGCAAACTGCGGGAGACCTTTAAAAGTGATATACCCATATGTTTGAAGAGGAAAGTTTATGAACAATGCGTCTTGCCGGTAATTACATATGGAGCGGAAACTCTAACATTAACGAAAAAGTCAGCAGAAAATTTAAGAGTAGCTCAGAGAGCCATGGAGAGAGCCAAACTAAAAGAGACAAAATTCCTAATAACACTATCAGACAAAAAACCAAAATTAAAGACATAGTGGAACACGTAACTCAAATGAAATGGAGATGGGCAGGTCATGTGGCGAGAACATCTAAAGACAGGTGGACTAGAAGATTGTTAGAATGGCGACCTCGAGCAGATAAACGTAGCAGAGGCACACCACCGACACGCTGGACCGATGATGTAAAGAGGATTGCTGGAAATTTGATGATGACGGCCCAAAATCGAGAGACGTGGAGAAATATGGAGGAGGCCTACGTTCAGCAGTGGACAACGATGGCTACATGATGATGATGATGATGAGAGCTTTCGCCGGACACGACCATCGACGCTTTCAGCCTGAATGTACCTTAACGAAAAAAAAATCCTTAACGTTTCGGAAAATTTATCTCTTTCCGTCGTCGGAAGCAAAAAAATATAAAGAATAAAGATAAAAACTATTTAAGATATTTAAATTCAACTATTCGAGAACACTTTAGTTTTTTAAAACAGATACGTCTACAAAAACCGTTGACGTTCTGTTAAAATGACATTATATCAAGTTAAACTTCAAAATTAACAATTACTACCTGATAAAAATTACTTAATAAGGTAAAACCAAAAAGCCCCAAACTTTCTGTATGATTATTTTTAATTTTTACGTAGGTATGTTATGTTTATTTATGTTATGTCCTTTAAAATCAAAGAAGCGATTGCCATACATTACTAACATCTACAGATGCATGAGCAATACATTTATTTTTATTAGATTGTAGTAAAAAAGCCTCTTTTATTTTTCTTTTAGAGGCTATCGCTTCTTTCATTATAGTTTTAGCGTTATTAAAATTTATTCTGTGCGCTGTGTCCCATGAATGCTGACAAATCTTAGATTTGTGAAAATCTCCCTTTCTTAAATAATCTTTATGTTCTTTAATTCGAACATTAAGGGTCTAGATGTTTCACCTATATAACATTTATCGCATTCGCATGATATTTGGTACATTACATTTTTTTTTTTAGGGTTTAGTATGTGATAAAATAGATCTAAGTGTATTTTGTGTTTTGAAAGATGTTCGTATGTTATATTCTTTTCCTATCCTTCTTATTTTTTCCGAAACGCCTCGTATGTATGGAATTGTAAGTTGTGTATATTGTGTATTGTTATAATTGTGTCTATGATTTGGGGTTTGTATTTCGTTTAATGTTTTGTCATTAAAATATGGTGGATAGTCGTTTTTTATTAATGTATTTTTTTTTTTGTGGTTTATCTCTGTTTAGTGAAATGTCGTCTGAACATATATTTTTGCCCTATCATATAAACTTTTTATAACACCTTTTTTACACTTATACTGTGATTAGATGTGAAATTTAAGTATCTATCTGTGTTTGTGGGTTTTCTGTAAATACCTAAAATTAGTTTATTTTGAAACTTTGACCCTAAAACATCAAGAAATAGCAAACGATTACCTCTCTCTGCTTCTAAAGTAAATTTTATGGTAGGATCGCGAGAATTTATATATAATCCAAAAAAATGTCTATTTCAGAAACGTTATGTTGCCATATTGCAAAAATATCATCAACATAACGCAGCCATATTACGGGCTTTTTTGAAAACCTTTTTAATTTATTGTATTATTTTCAAAATCTTCCATAAAAATATTACTTAACAAAGGAGAGAGAGTTGATCTCATTGCCATAACGAAATCTTGTTGAAAAAATTCATTATTTAATTGAAAAATAAAAATAAAATAATATATTAATTGTTGCTTTGTTTTTTAATCATGTAGCTTTGAAAATATTGATTCAGTTCCCGTTGAAAGTTTTGATTCAGTCCCTGGTACCTCTGGATCTGGAATCATGTAAGTTTATTTACCTTTGTTATAAAAAAAATATTATAAATTAATAAAATATTTTTAGAACCACAGTTACTGCTGAATATACCGAAAAAACCGAAAGTCAAACTCGCCCTGGGGATTCGTCTTCATCTACTGAAACTGCATCGGAAGCAGCGGATACTGAGGAATTGGATACTGAGGAAACAGAAGCAGCATCTAATATCAAAAATGTTGAAACTAAGAAAAGGTATGTTAGTTTGTGAAAAAAAAACTACTATTGTGTATGTAATATTTTATGTATTTATTGTTATAGGAAGAGGCAATATTTGCGATATATTGATGAAATGACAACCAGTGATTTTTCAACTCCTGAAAGTCGAAAGAAAAACGTCGATATTTTAAAGAACACGGCTTATGACCAAAGGAAGAAAATTCACAGCCTACAAATGAAAGTTCGCCATCTTAAGAAAAGAGTTAATTCGTTGACAACACTTACAAAGGATTTAAAAGAGCTTTTAAATCCTTAAGCTCTTACATTAGCATTTTACTCACCGAGAGCTTACAATTATGGAAGAAAAACATTTGATAATTCACTTCTCCATTTGGGAACACTGTCAAATTGGTACAAATCTGTCAATGGTGCTCCAGGATTTTCAACGGAGGCTTTAAATGCCATTAAAATAAAGCAATAAGACATCAAGTATCCACTCTTGTGCAACTTTTTAATGGATGAAATGTCCATAAGGAAGCAAGTCGAATGGACTGGCAAAAAATTCACGGGACATGTTGATATCGGGACACAGGTGCAAGGGGTTGTTCTTCCTGAAGCTACTTTCTTTTAGGAGGCTTTAGTATTTATGTTAGTCTGCTTAAATAGCTCATGGAAAGTCCCCGTTGGATATTTTTTGTTAAATGGTTTGTCTGCTGATGAAAAAGCTAATCTTGTCAACAGATGTTTGACCTTTTTAAATGAAACAGGCATTCAGATAATATCGCTAACGTTTGATGGTGCTTCTGCTAATTTAAATATGGCTGAGAAATTGGGGGCAGATTTTTCAGACACTCGTAATTTAAAAACATCATTCAAGCACCCTAAAACTGATTCAGAAGTATATATTTATTTAGATGCCTGCCATATGATCAAATTAGTAAGGAACTGCTTTGCTAGTCAAGCTGATCTCAAAGATATACAAGAAGGAGCTATTAAATGGACATATATTTCAGAATTAGTTTTTCTCATGGACTTAAAATAAAATATAGACTACACTATTTACATCTAAACGCGGTCAAACAATCATTTTTGTATACATGTTTATTTCTGGGTACACTCGACCGTAGCCGACCCAACCTTCCTCGTCCAGCCTATGTTGTCACGTCTTTAATATTATCAATATTTGTTTACTTATTTTACACGTACATTGAGATATACTGCATTTTAATAAAGTAGGTTTTAATATTCGGAGGGGGTTAATCTTTTTTTGATATAATATAACAACAAAAGATTAACACCCTCCGCATGGAAGTTGTAACGAATGCAATCAAAACTCTTTCCTGCAACTTCATGGTTATAAATAGTCAGATCTCGTTGGTAAAAAGCAGTTATGGGAAGGAGCCGTTCTTCTTGCGACCGCCTTTCGTAATCCCAGAATGAGCGAAAAAACACACTAAATTTAGGTTTAGCATTGGCAACGTTGCTTTAAATGCCAGAAACACGTAACACAACATTTTCAGATTGTTTACAAATTTCTTTTAGCAAATTTTCCTCTATTATGCATAGAATTGGGTAAAAAAGTAACAGAAAATAGCAAAAACATCATTGTTTATTGAATACCTAACAAAATATGTACCAGAAAACATTAAAAATATGAGAAATTAAGAAAAATTCGATGTTGAAATAATTTTTTGTAAGAGACCGCCAGAAAAAAAGGTTCAGATTCGTAATCTACGACCTCAAAATAGGGTGTATACCAATTTTGGTCAAAATCGGACGATTTCCAGTTTTCCCAATTTTGTATTCAAGAACTATAAAATATGGTTCGCGAGTGCCAAATTTGCACGAAATTTGATTTCAATAATCCCAGAGAATAATCCTTTTAAGTCTTGAAACGACTTTCGACCGGTAGGCAACTCTCAATTTACCAATTGGGAGCCAGTGGCGTTGTTGTAGAAAGGCGCTTATTTAGATAATATTTTGGTAAAATGAAAAATCTGGAAAATCTGATTTTTTTCTGTTACATAATCATTTATATAAATAGGTTACTTTATTTTTATTTATTTACACAAACTTAAAAATTGGTAGTATTAAGAGGAAAATAATTATGTTTTATATATTAAATTGACGAGTCGGTCTGTTAATAAAGAAAAGTTATTTACCTAAGACAAGTGGCGATAAACGTTTATTTTTCATGGAATCTACTATAAACTTAAATGCATTTCAAACATGAAAAATGTCTCTCAACCCAAGTACTTGTATGGTGTAGTAACAAACAAAACAAACAATTTGAAAGCCTCTGGAAATATTTTCCAGGATTATTTCCTTCCTCCATATTTTCCAAGATTATTTTATGCTCGAAATTATCATATCTATTTGAAACAAATAAGTAATTATAAACATAAACACACAAAAGTCATGAAATAAACATAAAATGAACCTGTTTAAATACATTTTTAATGCTATAAATACATCGAAACCAAGAATAAAGACTATAGGCGTTTACGAAAATTATACCTTCGGTATTTACAGTTACCCAGCGGTAAACATATGTTTTATGTCAAATATGAATCTGGTAGAATATTTTTAAAACGAACTGGTTAATATCTTAAGATTAAATTTATTATACTAATTAATATAATAATAACATACAATTAATATAATAATAACAAGATTTTGTGCCACAACCTCTAAGCCTATAAGATGAATGAAAAGATGAATGAAGTAGATTCTTCATCCAATTCTCCAGTTAAATCTCTGCTGATATGTTTTTCAAAATGATTTTGAATTTCAGTCAAATCTCCCTCAAGACCACATACAGAGCATTTCCCCTGCTCAATTTCAAATACATCCATGTCCATGGCGATTTTCAATTAATAGGTTTCTGATCTCTGATTTTTTAAACGCGTTTTAAACTCTTATAGGTTCGGTTTTCTCTCATAACGGTCATTTACCGAGACCTTACCCCGATCCATAATCTATAAACCGAATACATGCACCGGTAAATGTGTGATAAAATTAGAACAAGGAACAAAAATACCGTTATCAATTTCGAACGTAAAAAAGTTACCCGGTACCTACCGTTGCAATTTTCGTAAACGCCTTATAATGTTAGTACGTAATTAATCGTTAAACGTAATAATGTTAGTACGTAAAATCACATAGAAAAAAAAATTTCGACATTTTTTAACAATCCAGCAACATCGAACGAGAATAAAATTCAAAACCTCCACACGACCGAAAGTGACCAATCACGATCGAGTATTTTTGGCTCTTCGACCCATAAAATAATTAACTAGAAAGAAGTGTCAACTCTGTGTTAAATCGTGGAAACACGATACGCCACCGAAAGCCTTCGTTGTCGTCTGGAGAACTAGCTTTCCAATTGACAGGTTGACATGATGGCTTAATTTTCATTTCCGTTTCCGGTTATTCAATGGCGGGCCCTCTTTCTGTTCAAATGTATTTTGTATTTTTCTTTTCATAAATAAAACCAAAAATAATTTATTCACATATATTTATTTGAAATATGGAACAACGTGACTAAATAAATATAAAAATATAGAGGATTGTATTGTTTCAATACCAATTAGTTAATTATATGCACTTTTAACGTAAATTAGTTAAGGTATAAGCATGACTTACAGTAATTTGTAAATAAACACACGCATTCGCAAACTTCAAGGACAGAAAACGGACACAGGAACATGAAAACGGGAGCCTTATACAAAAACCTGAAAACAGAAAAACAATTTTTTTATACAAAAATTAACAATGTAAAAATATCAATAGGTATAAAATATAAATAAACTGTTTAAAAAAAGCGTCCATTATTCCCAAAGAACCTGGCTTATAAATCAAAAAGATGCAAAAAGAGACTTTTAGTCGGATAACATAATCAGATTATCAGTCCGATTTATTGCTTTATTGACAATAAATCGCACATACTGGAGATAACTAATGTTGGCTATAGTTAAAAATGATCTTACCTTGCTGTAAATTGTTTCCATTTTCAAAAAAATCGCCGATCAAAGAGATTATAACACCATTTTCTTGCATCTAAAAAATGTAAAAACAGTGTTTATTTACTACCTATTTTTGATATACATGGGACATACCTACTACTGCAGAAACGTCATTTTCTCCAGGATTCTTCATGTAATTTATATTTTATATACTTTATTACCTTTATATTTATAAATTTCAGCCGAAATATTAAATTGAACTTCCAAAACGAAACTAAACGGAATGAATTAAAATGGCGTCGAATATTTTCGAATTTGTTCTAGAACAAATCTGAAGTTGTCTCTGAAACTGAAATCTGTCAATTCTAAACTGTGAAGTTAGACAATAGTTAGACAAAAACAATGCTGTCCTTGTCTAGGCGGCCATACTTGTCGTGAGGAGAATGACAGGAATGACACTAATGACTGTTTCCAATTTTCCTATTTCACTGTCACCCCCCTGCTTCGACCCCCCATTTTAATTTTTTTTAATAAACATGGCTGGTTTTTATTAAAATTTCAGTAGAATATGCTTCTTAAATTAATTAAATGATTTGTCTTTATTTGTATTTATTCCCCCAGTATAAAATACCATACAAAACTTATTTTACATTGAAATTATCTGGTACGCACATAATTAGATGAACTATAAAATCATGCATTTCTTTAATATTTTAATAAATTATTAAGAAACAAGTGTTTTTATTCAATAAATATCCCTTAGTTTAATAGGAAACTAATTCTATATAGTTAAATAGTAAGAAATATGAGATAAATTATATAAAAAATAACTTCATAAGTCTTTAAGTTGACTCAACGTTGACAGCTCTTACCGGATGTACGGTACTGTCCAACTTTTGGCGCCAGAATTTTCAAATTTGAAATTTAATTAAGCAGAAAAATCCTTTATTTATTAACAAGTCCCATACACTGGTCCCATAATATTTCTCCTTACCTCTATCAAAGAGTAGATAATTATCTCCTCTTTGCCTCTACACTCCATAATTACGAGTTACGAGCTTGTTACGAGCTATCTCTATATCTCTGGTTCCGAGGCAATTTAATTTAATAACCCTGTGGTGTGGCATAACATAAAAAATGACAAAGGACAGAACGACGAACGACAGAACAATGACAAATGACAGTTGACTAGTTGGTTGGGTGTTTGAAAGTTTGGTTAGTTGAATTTGCGTAAATTAATTTATCAGAAAATAATAAATCTACACATTATATATGCCTTAACATATTCAAAATCAACACAGCCCAACTGGAAATGGCGACAGAAATACTAAAGTCCTTCAATCACCTCCAAAATGAATTGGAGGAAGCGAGAAGTAGCTTAAAAGGTGTCGATGAAAACATTAAACGTCTGATCGGCAGGGATCCCAGCGAAATTCCACCTCGACCCGGTTTAAAAAGACAGTTAAGCGATAAACCTTTTCATCCCGCATCAAAGTTGCCTCGTAGGGCGATAGAAAATGAGGAAATTTTGGGGAAGCGTCGTAACCCAAACTCTGTTTTTAAAAGACTCTCGGAGAAAGTATACGACGAACCTCCAAAAATACAACCAAGAGGAGGACTTATTAGCAAAGTAATCCCTGCCCCAAAAGAGGTTCCAAGCAGGCAAGATGCTTTGGATAAACAAAGCAAAGATGAAAAGTTTAAAGCAAGAAATCGTAGAATGTTTGGTGCTCTTCTAGGCACTTTACAGAAGTTTCAACAGGAGGAAACGAAATTAAAGAAAAAAGTATTTATATAATGCATTAACTGTTGTTATCAACCACTAATTTACTACTATTTTAGGAAGAAAAAAGGAGTCAAATAGAGAAAAAAATTGAAGAACATGAAATGCAAGAGAAGGCAGAAATCAAGAAAGAAAGGCAAGAGCTTTTTTTAAACAGAAAGAAAAAACAGCAAGAAATTAAAATGATTGAGCTTAAAATGTTGCGAATGAAGGAATACACATTATGGGAAGACTCTCAGAAACCCAGAAAGCATTTTATTACTACTAAAACAAAACCTCACATACATTATTTGCCAAGAAGAATGAACGATAAGTCAAAGGAATTACTGGAAAAATCTAGGAAAGAAGTTGAAGGTAAAAAACTAATTTTATTTCTGTTTACTTATTGATTTATTTGTGGTTGTATTGTAGAGCATATTGAGAACAAACGGAAAGCAGTATTCGATGAACTAAATCACATTGAGGAACGTATGAAAAAGAACTTTGAAAGTAAAACTCATACTAAAGAACCAAAAGAAGAACTAAGTGATACCCGACATGATCGCCGTGATAGTGATAATGAATCTGATGATGATATAGACATGAAAATGGATGACAGAGAGGAAGAGAAAGATGAAACAGAACCAACAGAGGAATTGAAGCAAAAGGAATCAAACCAGATTGTTTCAAATGAAGATCAGAGTAAGCCTGAAGAATCCAGTACTGTTGCAGCAGATTCTGAAGAAAAAGAAGGACACAGCATTGAGACACATCAAGAACAAAATGGTAATGAATCAGAAGAAAAACATATTAATATGGAAGTGGAGATAGAAAATATACAGGATGACAATAAAAAAGAAAACTCGGAAAAGGATGTTGAGAGTGAACAGAATAATGTTCATGATAGTGAAAGTGCAAATGTTGACATTAATCAAGTAGAAGAAAGCACAAGTGTGGAAATTGACAGACAAGAAGTTACTGAACAAAGTGAAAATACCAGTATTTGATTTAAACAAAAACAAAACTGTATAGAACCTAGAAATTAGTTTTAGCAACTACTCACTATTCCAAAATGAGTTTTTTAAGATAAAAACTGTCAAAATTCAAAATTGATCTATGAAACATCTAGTTTTCGTAAGGTATGATATTTATTTTGAAGACTTTATACCTGTACAAAATATTGTATAAATAAGAAAGTTTTAAGTAAAATTGTATTTCTGTATAAGTGTTTTTAGAAAAGCCAGAGGTTTGAAGGACTTTGGCTTTGTGAAAGATTTTTTATTACTGACCACGGAAAGACCTTTTCTAATAACTATCATCTAATTTCTAATTGAATAACAGTCATAAATGAAAAGGGTATAGTAAAAAAAAATGTTTTATTGAACATGAAAATCACAGTCTTAAATATAAACATCTTGGCAATTTGTTATTTTATTTACACGGCGCTTTTTGCTGCTGTTAGTACCTTTCTGGAAAGCCTCATTAAGCCAGAAACGGGGTCCCTACCGAAGTACTTAACTTGCAATTCTTGACCGACTTCTAGTCCTAACGCTGAAGGATGTGCAACCTTAAAAAAAAGGATAAAATCTGCTGGCGTTCCTATAATATTGATATAAGAAAAATACGGGGATAGCCTGAAAAGTATCCAATCTCATAACAGACAAGGCAACCTTTATACAATAAAACTGCGCATCTTTTGAAGAACACACGATAAGATTTAAGACATTTCCGATGCTTATCACAAACAAGGACTGTATATTCTAAAGGACTGTTCGATCGCGTTAAATCGCCGCTGTCGTAGTCGCCGTGGAATGCTACGTCACGCGCTGACCAGCGCCCACAGTGCGGCGGATGGTTATTCTAGCGGGACAAAATCTCAAGAGCAATGTTTGGGACTTAAAAATCTAAGAACGTAGCAAATGGTCTAATATATAGCAACTATATAGTTAAATTTATTTATTTATTAACAACTTAATTTATTAATAAATAAATACAAGATAATAAAATTATTCGTACATGACACACAAACACCGTATTGTGAACTATTGCCAAATACATAAAATTTTGATATCAAAAAACTCTTTAGCAGTTTTTTTAAATTAATTTGTAATCTTGTGACACCCTCTATAATTTATTTTAAAAAAATATATTTTATTTTGAAAATAATAAATAAGATAGATATTTTAATTTTAACACAAGGTAATTGTAAATTCATATATAGTAAGTATCTAAGACAATTTTTTAAACTCAGTGCCTTTTGATGGAGTTGTTTTGTTTTTATACTATCCGATTGAAATGAAACTTTTTGGGCATTCACCTGTTAAGCTTGAACTCCCTGTGACTGTGACTACCTGTGTTGGTAACTATTGGTAACTCTAAAGATCTACATCATTTAATATATCGATATTTGAAAAAAAAGTGAAAGTTTGATATCTGCAGAACAAAGGCACGAAGGATTTTAACAAATAATATACGTACAGTAGAAAAGTACATACCTTTGGCAAATCTTCAACATAATTTGGCTTTCTAATAAAATGTATAAGCACTTGTAAATATTTTGTTTTCGTATGATATCTGCCTTGCTGAGCAGAAAACGACCAAATTTGGTTGATAAAAATGTATCGAAATACAAAGAATATTCATGCATTTTTGTATCAATTGGAATGTCTACTATTTATTCTTATCAGTACACATTTTGGCTTATTTCTAACCAAACGCTTTTGTCCCGCTAAATTTATCTTCCAACGCACTGTGCGCTCGTCCGTCAAATGCAAAAATAACTGTCACTGTCTAAAATCTTTAGCGCCAACTTCAACTCGGTTAGTAGATGACGTAAAAAAACTGACAGTGCAGGAAGATAGGAATCGAACTATACTTATCTCTATAGTATCCTTGGTTTTGTGATGCTTATTTGTTGTTTGACAGACAAGTGTCAAATTTATTTTCTTGCTTTAAATAAAAAGATTAAGGAAGTTTTTTAAGATAATTTTTTAAGCATATCAAGAATTTCGATAAAACTCGTAATATTTGTGTTTAGTTTAAAACAAGATATAAAAATAAGATTTCAAATATTAAGAGACTCAAAAGATTTTTCCCAAAACTTTAGTTCTTACTTTTCTTTGATCTAGCTGAGAATTATGGAGTAAGGCGGGTGGCATTCCTGGGTACAGCGTGACCATAACACCAATATCCCTAACCTAAAAAACAAATTATATTATTAAAATACAGTTAGTACAGCTAGAGTCTTATTCTCTACTTCAACAATTGTCGCCTTATAGACGCCCCCAAACTCTAGGTCTGGAACCCTCTCTGTAGTCAGTAGCTTTTGAATTATTTCTTTGGCTTCGTCCATCGCGCTTTGGTTGGGAGCGAAAATCTGAAAGGTCGTATCCTCGACTTGGGATACCTAAAAAGGGAAAATCTCTAATCTAATAACCATAATTTCAACATGAAGTGGACAAGAAAAACTTCGGCGTTTTATTAGGGTTCTCAAATTTTCGACATTTTTAATAAAAGAAAATGTGAATTTTGAGAGGTAAATCAAGTAAAATCCGCAATTATGTTTAGATAAGCAAAAACTGTACAGGGTGGTCGAAATTAATCTGTTTTAACAGAGAAAACATATTTCCTGACTAGATAGAGCAAAACCGACATAGATGTCATGGGCTCAATTTCTGAGATACGTTTAATGGCGTAAACCGCTTGTTGATATTTTCACTGCCAACAGAGATACGGGGTCTTTTTGAATTTTTTACCATTTTGAAAATTGCCCATAACTTTTTTATTTCGCGGAATAATAAAATTCTGTAAAAACGTTCTTAAGGCCCCTTTTTAAGCACAATCCAGTGACGTACTCAGTTTTTTTCTATGCTTGTTCTGTTTGTCAGAAATAATAACAAATATAATTTTTTAAATGGAAATCGTAGTTGGCTATGAACTTAAAAAAATGCTGGCGTTTAACCCTTTCCAACGATATAAGTTATGGGTATCTATTTCTAAGAATAAGGGAAATATGAGGGTTTTTATCTTTATGTCAAAGCGGGCTGTGATTTTATTTTAAATTGACCTATTTGCTTAATACACAGGCACACAGTGGGGTATTTGACACTGATAGTTGATCGAAATTTGTTTATGTAGACCTTATATAAATTATTGCTATTTTCAATTAAAGAGGAAATAATATGAACAAAATAAAGGATAATTCGTCGATTCTAAAAATAGAAAGAAAAATCACTGTTCCAGTGTTTCCACGGCCAGTGCCAGTAGTAATATCGCAACTACTACTACTAATGCTACGACTGATCCGCGAGCAATGCCCATACCACTAAAGTCGCTACTAATGCCAAATTGTGCTATACTGCTAATGTCACTAATGCGATCGCTTTGTACACAACAATGCCATCGCGGTTTACACCTCGCATTAGTATATCACTGATTGGCAAATTAGAGAAACCAAGAATGTTTTTCTCATTTTATCAGCAAAGTCGCAAAAATTCGCAGTATTTTATTTTACTGTATGAAAGCCCAATGTTTACTAAGTAAAACGTATATAGACAATATGCTGAATTCTTCGAAATGCGCAACTAAATCTCTAAGTATAATAAAAATGTCACAAATTTAATCAAATTTTCTGAACGCCTAACTTTTAGTTGCAAAAAAAATCGTTGGTATAGAGAATATCAAAATAAATAATACGTTTTTGTAGAATACATACCTGCAGCTTGCTGAGCCATTTTCAATCAAAACTATAACATAAACGTAAAAAGAGCACAAGAACAACAACAATTTATAATTTTAAACATAAAATTTAGCCATTTACCTCTTATCTGTGAGAAGTAACAACTTTGACGTTTCGTTGAAACAAATGAATGCAACTAAACACACCCATAGCAACGCCATTCATGGCAGAGATGATTTAACTTATCATTTATCTTTTTTTGGGAAATCTTAAACACATTTGCTTTTTCGAATTTCGATCACCTTTTTCATGCTAATACCCCACCGTGAGGCGGTTTACGACATTAAATGTGTCTCAGAAATCGAGCCCATGATATCTATGTCGGTTTTGCTATATCTAGTCAGGAAATAAGTTTTCTCTGTTAAAACAGACCATTAAGAGTGACAAAAATTGACTGATTTTGATAAACGAATCTAGAATCCTTACCTGTACACCAGTTTCGGCAAACAGCTTTTTCAAATTGATACCTCCCAGTCCCAGAAGCTTCGCCCTTTTGTGAGGCTCCACATCGAGTTTTTCCGTTACTGGCCAGTTGTCCTTCTTCGTGGATCTGGGTTTTTTTATACAGTCGTTCATTATTTGCAGTATTTTCCCCTTGGCATCGGAGGCTTTCTGTAACGATTCCATCACTATTTTCAGTGGCAGACCGGCAATTTTGATGTCGGCCTGTATGGCTGTGATACCTTTTTTGGTTCCAGCAACTAAAAAAAAATGTTTATAAAGTAAAAAAATTGTGTGTGGACTATGTGCGTATACCGGGTGGTCCGAATTGTATTCCGGAAACTTCGGCAGCATATTCTGCAGATAAAAATAAGTAAAAAAGTTCGTATAAATCAATGTCCTAAATTGCTTAGTTTCGGAAATACAGGGTGTAGAAGTTTCATTTTTATTTCAATTTTTTCCAAATAATTTATGAAATAACGTCAATATTTGGATGAAAATTGGTGTCTGGAAGTTTTTTGACATGAAAAATTTGATTCTGGTGTCAATATGACTCCTAGTGGTAGAGGGCGCCACCTATATGTATTTTAACTGTTTTGAAGCGTAATAACTTTTTGTCCGTACCTGTATAAAACTACCGAGTGAAAAAATATATATCTCTGTAACTTTTTACGTAAAAAACATCTCTTTCTAAAAATCGCTACGAGCAACCGTTTTTAAAATATTTAGAATGGAAATAGACAATACATGTCATTATTGACGTAAAATAAACACGTTCAGTAGATAGTTATTTCACTGAAATAATAAAATTGGGAAATTTTTATTTTTTTAAATTAATCATAAATTTTTGTACAAAAAATGATGATAAAACAGTTTCTGTTGAACTTTTGGCACAAAAACATTTCAAATTTATGATTTCAGTCTAATAACTACATATTTAGTTAAAGGCCTGTTTACACTACGTGCAATACGGTGCAATGGCAATTTTAGTTGCCCGAACGCATGCGCACCTCACACTTTTCGATCAGCTGATGCAATTTTCATTGCATTGCATGGAATTAATAATTTGATTGCACGTAGCATGCAATTTTTGCTTCTACCAACCAAAAAAATCAAATTTATAATTAAATAATATAGTTTCTGTTTTACAATTCATGTTATAGGTACAAATAATAATAAATTAAGATACAAACTCAAACTACAAAATCTAAAAACCTTTAATAAGACATACACAACGATACCTCGAAGATAAAATAAAAAAATAAATGAAACAGTTGTTATATTCATTTTATTTAGGTTGGCACAATAGATTCTCAAAATTATGGCATGTATTTTATTGCACCTTATGTAAACGGTAAATTGCGCGTGCAACCGTATTGCATGCCATTTTTAAAAATGCATCCAATTGCATCTAGTGTAAACACCGTTTAACGCATGTTTAATTTATTTCAATGACGACAGGTATTGATAATTTCGATTCCAAATATCTCGAAACCATTACTCGTAGCGATTTTCACCAAGAGACCTTTTTCACGTAAAAAATGTCGTAAATGTATATTTTTTTACTCAGTAGTTTTATACAGGTACGGACGAAAAGTTATGACTCTTCAAACTAGTTAAAACACATGTAAGTGGCGCCCCCTACTATTAGGAGTCATATTGACATCAAAATCAAATTTCTCATGTCAAAAAACTCCCAGACACCTATTTTCGTCCAGATATTGTCGTTACTTCAGCAATTATTTGGAAAAAATCGAAATAAAAATGAAACTTCTGCACCCTGTATCTCCGAAACTAAGCATTTTAGCACGTACATTTATACGAACTTTTTTACTTATTTTTATCTGTAGAATATGCTGCCGAAGTTTCCGGAATACAGTTCGGACCACTCTGTATACATATAAGTCAATATACAAGGACTAATCAATAAAATATTAAAATATTGAAAAAAATAGAAATTATCGTAGAGCCAGAAAAGATTGACTGTGAGAGACTGACATTGAGAAATGTAAAACTAAACAACTTTTTCAAAAAAATATTATTAAACATTTTAATAAATAAAGTCACTTTTCAACATTTTTACTAAAAAACGTCAAATTTCAGAGATAAATCAAGTCTCGCAACTATGATAGCATACTTAAATTTTGATTTTAGACAAGCAAAAACTAACTGTAAAATATGTAAAAGTCAATATACAGAGACTAATCAAAATAGTCCAAATATTGACAAAAAATAGAAATTACCGTATAGCGAAGAAAATCTTGAAATATCGATAAAAAACAAAAATTGTAAAATAACAAAAATTAATGGGCAAATAAAAAACGTAAAACTAATCAACTTCTTCAAATATGTTTAACATTTTTTTAATATATATAAGCACTTTTCCGTCAAATTTAACAGAAGTCTTATCTCGCTATGATGTGAGTATACAACAAAGACCGTGGTGCAAAAAAATATGGACTATGGTTATTAAAAGAACAATTTTCAAATAAACTTACTTTTAAAGTCCATATCCCCCAAATAATCTTCAATACCCAATAAATCAGTGAGTATTCTATAGTCACTAATGTTATCGCTGTCATCGTATTGGGTGATTAAACCGATAGCAACGCCCGCAGCGGCCGTATTTACAGGTACCCCAGCGTCCATCAGTGCCAAACTTCCCCCACAAACACTAGCCATCGAACTAGACCCTAACAAATTAATCAGAGGCATTTAAACAGTTTAATAAAATCACTAAATTACCATTAGACTCTAGCACTTCCGATGTCAATCTGATTGTAAAAGGAAAATCGCTTGGAATGATTGGATTTAGTCCTTTTTCGGCCAAGGCCCCATGACCCATTTCTCTGCGGCCTATCGGGCCTATACGGCCCGTTTCCTTCGTGGCAAACGGAGGAAATTCGTAGTGAAGAAAGAAATTCTTTTCTTTAATACCCCTTAAACATCAATAAGTACAAGGTGACGCCTCTCATACGGTGCGGAGAGTGTTTGTACCGAAATGAAATTTTGTGAGCATATATCGGGTGCGTTTCAAAAGGTGTGGCTTACCCCTATATAAAAGAGTAACTTGCTTTAAAAAATGACTAATGTTCAATATTAATTTTGTCTCACCCTGTATAACTTTTCGGGTCAAGTATGGGTGAAGTTTTAAATGTCAAAAATGTAACATTTCAGTCATATATTTCTCTAATAAAACTCACTTTATTTTTTCCTAGAATCTGAAAATCAATTAATGATATGGTTCAATTTTTTTGGAAACACCCTGTAGAACTTTATATATTTTTAAAAAATGCTTTAAATTAATCTACATATGCTAACAAAATCTCATTTCAATACAAACTGTAGTTCTCTTTGAAGCCTCTGCATTTTATTAGAGGCGTCACTCTGTATACAGTATTGGCCAAAAGTGAATGAACCAATACCAATAATTGCGAAGAAAATCAGATTTCAGGTGTTAAATATCAAAATTATTTTATGTACCTTTGTATGTTAAAAGGTTAATACATTCTCACCAAAATACTACAAACAAATAAAAATTCTTCTGTTAGTCTTATGAGTTATAGGTAAGAATTGGCAAATGTTACTTTTTTGTCTTGGACAAAAGTAGATGAACCAAATATTTTTAAAAATCGTTAATTTCATTTGTTCTGCTTTTATGAACAATTGCGATTTAAAAACGTTCGAGCTCTTGTGATATATCATGCCACGTGGAATTAACTTGTCTGCAGATCTTAAGTTGCGAGTAGTGAATGCTTTTAAGGATGGTCTGAAGCAATCGGAAATCGCTAAGCAATTACGCCTTGGAAAATCAGCGGTACATTATATTTTAAAGAGATATAATGAGAGAGGAGATGTCTCTATAAAAAGAAAACCAGGACGGCCTAAAAAAGTTAGTTCCAATGTGATAAAAGCCATAAAACGAATTTCTTCACAAGGTCCATTTTGCCGTCAACGAAGGTAAAAGCAAAACTTAAAGAAATGGGCTATCCACCAGTGAGTACAAGGACTATCCGACGTAAATTAGTTAACCAGAAGTTGTTTTCCCGAAGACCCGCCAAGAACTGGACTGTGGCACAATGGAAAAAAGTTTGTTTTAGCGATGAATCAAAGTTTAATTTGATGTCATCAGATGGAATTCAACATGTAAGAAGACCTCCCAACACACAATTGCTACCAAAGTATACGCGACCCACTGTAAAACATGGTGGGGGCTCAGTCATGGTATGGGGCTGTTTTTCTGGGTATGGGATGGGCCCTCTCCATAAAATTGAGGGCATAATGGATCGGTTTGGCTACAGAGACATTTTACAAAACCTTTTAGTGCCTTATTTGGACGAAAAAATGCCAGTTGTACACTACTTCCAACATGATAACGACCCGAAACATGCCTCACAATTGGTTAAAAGGTTTTTGGAAGATGAAATGGTGACTGTTCTCAAATGGCCATCGCAATCCCCAGACCTGAATCCAATAGAAAATTTATGAGAAATTTTGGATCAACACATTAGGACCAAATTCTACAAAAATAAGCAAGAATTATTTGCTTTGGAAGAGTCTTAGAAAAATATCGAAAGTCTTAGAAAAAAGTCTTATAAAATATATAATTATTTTTCAATAATTGAAAATCTTCTGGGATCTATGCCTAAACGATGTCTGAAAGTAATTAAGAATAAGGATTATTACACTAAGTACTAGTAAATTATAAGTTAATTTTTTATTTTTTGTTAACATAAGATTTTTTTTTATTAAATATATATTTTGTTCATCTATTTTGTCCAATGGTTTTTTCAATTTAAATTTTTTGCCACCTTATTAAAGCAAATTTTAAAAAAACAATGCTATTCATTTTTATAGCACTGACACTAGATTTCAAGTAAATATAGCGCAAATTTTAATTTAAACATATTAGGAAAAATCCATTATTTTAACAAAGTTCATCCACTTATGGCCAATACTGTAGGTACTTAAAAAAATATAGATTAGGTTATAACATACCCTGTTACTATACTTAATGGATCCAACTTCATGGCACTTTCATGTGAATCTAATGTAACTGTACAGAAAACTTGTGTCTGGCCCCTTTGAAACATAGCTGATCCGTGTAGAGGTTTGTACATATCAACTTGACAAGAAATATCTCTAAGTTGGTCCAAGTCTCTGCCGTCACATCTCAAGTCTTTTTCGAAAACCAAATTTCTAAATATCTGCTTTACTAATTTGTTATAACCATCACTCACAATATTTCCATCACTGTCTGGAAACGTTAACCGAATTTGTTCGAGAACATTAGTCCTAACCTCACTCAGCGCGACGTCACGAGCTATTTTATCCAACGAATAGTTTTGTAGAATTTCCCTAAGACGCATTTGGCTTAAAGTCCTCAAAGCCTCACTGATTTCCTCATTAAGCTTGGGTGCCAATTCCAGCACCCTCTTGGGCTTACCAGTTTGTTTTTGTAGGTTTTCTATATCATTTATAATATGCTGGGCTTCTTTGCTACCGACCTTAATAGCTTTTTGTAGGTCTTGGAGAAGAATGTTGTTGGCATTGCCTTCTAACATAACTATCAAGTTCTTTTTTGTTGATGATATTACTAAATTTAAACTAGATGATTGCAATTCTTTTCTGGTAGGGTTTATAAGTACCTCTTCATTGATCAGACCAACTCTCACAGCACCTACAGGTCCGTTCCAGGGAATGTCACTTAAGGCTAGAGCGGCCGAAGCAGCGTTAATAGAAATTATATCTGGGTTATTCACACCATCAACAGCTAACATGTTACATACTACCTACAAGAAATATACTGCACATTTTATAATATAAAAAATATGAAATTACAATCTTAAATACCTGTGTGTCAAAATTGTAGTTTGAGGGAAACAACGGTCGTAAGCTCCTGTCAATTAATCTAGATGTTAATATTTCCCTTTCTGTAGGTCCTAGCTCTCTTCTAAAGAAATTCGTGGGTATGCGACCGGCAGCGGCTGATTTTTGTCGATAATCTACTACTAGGGGTAAGAAATTGCTCGAGCTGGGTTTGGTTTTTGAAACCACAGTTACCATGACCGAGGTGTCTCCTAACGTGCCTACCGCACATCCGTCAGCCAGCCTGGCGTACTGCCCGGTGGATAAAGTCAAGTTACGTCTAAAAACAATCGTATTTTACGTTAATTCTATCCTGTAAACTTTTTGCTAGATCTGGATAACCTAAAAATGTAAATACTTTACCCATTTGAAAAATTCGTTGTTATTTCATGTGAACTTGTACTATGGGTGTGAAAATGATTTCTTTCCAGTTTCCATAAATAAAACAGTCTTCTAAATCTCCTATTTACACGAAAAAATAACATTTTTTCTAAAAAATATGAACATAACCTAAAAAATGTGAACTCTTTTTTTTTATGGCTTTGATGGCTTTTAATCATTTTATTCTATGTCACTCTGTGGCCTGCCTAGTAACCAGGCTAGATGTGATAGAATATCGTATAAATATGAGAATATTACCAGTAGATAATTTATACCGATGATATAAATATGATTTCTCCTTATCTGTTTTTGACCATTCAAAGTAAAAAAATGTATTTTTTGCGTAAGTTAATCAAGGAATCAATGTAAGCAAACTAATTACAAAAATAACAAATCCAACTAATTTAATTAAAAAAAAATTAGAAAAATTTAGCCGTTTATTAATTATATTAACTGTTAAATTTTTGGGGTACTAATTAGTAGACAATTTTTCAAAGATTATTTATTATTTTTAACGTTGTATACCTATTTATCTATCATAGATCATATCGTTTATTATGTATATATGTAAATCAGATGTAAATTATTATATAATCTTGTTGTGGACAAAACTATATTTATAACACAAAAGTGTACAAAAGTAATCAATTAAAATTATGACGAAGATATTTTTCTTGAATTTTATTTAAATATATTTAAAAGAGGGTAAATAAATCTTGCGCGTCTTAAAATAACCGAATAAGGTCTTTAACTATAGTATTCATAAGGGCTAAATTAGATTTTCAGATTTTAAATCATTTTGTTAGGATTCTACGTATTGCTGGTTGTATAATCAGTGCCGGCTCTATCGGAGATCTCGAAAAATAGAAATAAAACAAAATAAAAGAGACACAGTTATAAATACAAAATATGATAAATATTATCAGGAAATCTTTATTTTGTTTACATTGTTTAAATAAAGACTTATTATTTTTCTATAGAGAAGCTTTAAAATTTTATATGTTAAAAATCCACCCAAAGCCAGACACATTGAAACCACCAATATAACGTCTAGCAATAAATATTCGTATAGGGGCATGTCTGCTGCTAAACTTTTTAAGTGCTCTGTTCCATTATGCCTGATGACGTATTCTGACCAATAAACGGCTTTATCCAGACTGCTCATCGGTTCATCTTCAGCGATAAATTTAAGTTTCTGGATCTTCTGAGTGTATCTAAAAATAAAACATTTTTTTATAAAAAATATTTTTATTTTTAATATGTATTCATATGACCTTTTTAAATAGGAAGAATCACGGTCAATCTCTAGACGACATATACTAAAAATTGACATAACACTTGTCAAAATATTAACAATTATAGAAAGATTAAAAAAGGATAGAACGTTTCCAGGCACACAAATCTATTTCCAATAAAATATTTTTGCTCGAATTTTAAACTAAATCATTTAAAAATCATTTTTACACAACATAAAATAAATTACAACCTTCTAAGATCAACTCTGGCGGTAAGCCCCTTTAAAAAAATAAAGAGTACGGATGTCTAGGGCTTGACATCGCCAAAATTATCATTGATAGTCATGCATTTTCGATAGTATGGTCAGTATGGTGCTATTACCAAACAAATAGCTTCATAACTTTTCTCTATATACCTGTTCAATAAAAGTAAACTGTTATAAATTTAAATAAAGTCCATGAACGAATGTCGATTTTGAAAATAGCTATACTGCTCTAAAAGCTACTGTACAGTCTGTCACTAGAAAATTGCCATGGCGACGCCAGCCATCTTGATTGTCATTTTATTGAAAAATCGCTTTTTATTCAAAATCTGAGCCAGATAAGTATAAGGAGACCCTAATATAATTTGAAAGAGCTTTTAAATCTGCTGCGACTTATTTTAAAAATACAGAGGGTTGCATTTGAAATAACGAAGTTTTTATGATAAAAAAATCGGCGTCAGCGATGGCTACGAAATGAAAATCGCTCTCATTTTATATATAAAATTATATGACAGTACTTGTCAATGTGTTCAGTGCAATAAGATAATGTATTTAGTCTTTGAATAAGAAGACTAAGGAAGGAGCATATCAAAAATCTTAGGTCCACCGCGATGGGCCTCAAATATGGCCGACTTAAATTCCGGTTTATCAGTGCCGTTCTAATTTTATTTAAAAAATGTAAAACTATGATGTAGGGTAGACTCAATAATTTTTTTTTTATTTTACGTTGTGAATAAATGTTGGTAGTTTTTAAAATTGTTATAAAAATATAAAATTCTAATAAAAATAGATAAGTTATAATAATTATTTATAACCATAAACATTCGATACGCTACTGAAGCAGGTAAGTCAAATTGGCGTATCTAAATTGTTTGACATCTAATCTTTGACAAGTAGTAAATAAAAGCAAAAATGCAAGAAAAAATATAAAATTAGTTAATTTAAGTTAATTTCATAAATGATCGGTTTAATACACGTATGTATATTATATAGTCACTTACTAGCGAAAAGTTGTTCAATTATTTCACTCGATTTTTGCCGAGATCTACCGCACGCTACACAACCAACTATTTTAGAGTCCTTTTCGATAAATCGCGATAGTGTCACTGTTAATTTAAGTTCTGCCACAATTCCCATCTAGATTTACTACCTTTATACAACTATCAGTAGTAGAATAAATAATAAATAACATAAAATAAGCTCCGCAAAGACTGACAAATCCACAAAATTTCAAATCAAATTCAAATGTGTCAAATGAATCGTCAAACAGAACTGTCAAGGATCCCCACTTTAGAGTCCTTTTTCCGTCCACCATGCATGAATACATGGATAGCATTATGCTCCTTCTTAGTCTTCTTATTCAAAGTATTTAGTCAAAATTAATACTACCGTATGACGATTGATGATATTCCCCATATAATTTACAATATGATACAAAGATGTAGCTGATCGTGTATGTCAAATGTCTTACTTTTGATTCTCAGCCACTTCGATAATGGCATGTTTCAAACTGTCTTTGGTCATGGCCAGAGGTTCAATTTCAATGGCAATGCCCAGGCTTTCTAGAATTTTCACATTCCTATGCTGTTCAGATATAAAAGGCAATCCCACCATAGGTTTCCCTCTCAATATTGCTTCTTCAGAAGACTGCAGACCTCCTTGGAAGACAAATGCTTTTATGTTTGGATGTGCTAAATATAAAAAATGGTTTTATTAAAACATTACGAATGTTTAAGGCAAAACTAACCCAATAGGTCTTGTTGAGGAAACCATTTTCTGGTGATTACGTTTTTTCCCAAACTCGATATGTTTTTACCCTCCCACTTCCACAGCACTGTGTACGGTAGTTCTGAAATAGCTCCTATAATGGCTTTTTGCAAATGCGCGGGTAAATGTGCACTTTTCACGTTGGATCCTAAGCTTAGGTAAATTGCGCCTTGGGTAGAGTTGTCCAGTATTATTGCTAAATCCTATTACAAAAAGAAAAAAAAAAAATAAACTTGATTTTATTAATAAAAAAAATTGCAACATGAATTGCCTGTCACCCCCAGACTTATTTTCGAATATTTCAGTATTCAAACTATTTAAAAACGTAAGTCAGAGAATTCAAGATGTCTTGTTTTTCAAATTAATATTTTTTTAGAAAATATGCGATAATTATTGTTTTGAGTAGTTTATATGCAATAAATTAATTTATTTTAATAATTATTAATTATTACTTTAATAAAAAAGCTCATCTTATTTAAATAGAGATGCAAAAATAATCGAAAGTAGTATTTTTAAAATATTTAAATACTTTACTCGGAAAAGCATGCGAATAGTTCTCCCGCGCTCATGGTCACTGCTGAATAATTTTTGTGTTTAGAGGATGTTTGGTCATTACAATCTGTCTGACTGATTAAATATAACTTTATAATAGCTGCCTTAATAACATGTAAAAATCAAACATGTAAAAATAAGTAAAGTTCATTTATTTTTTGTCGAGCTTTGATAGAGTCTATCTTTATGAAAGATCCACTTTTTGATTTGCTATCGTCTGATAAAAGTTCAGGTCCATGGAAAGTGTCTGATACTTTTGATACTATTTCGGAGCAGGGGCGCATATACGGGAGGGATAATGGGGGTAATTACCCCTCCCAGAAAGAAATTTATTTATTTTAACTATTACTTTCGAAAATCGACAACTATGAACCCTTCCCGGACACAAACGGTACATTGTGAGACAGGAAATTGTAGAGAGAAACAAACCCTATAACATAGGATACAACATTTTAATGAACAGTGCTTTCCATAAAATCAATAAAATGAATAATATAAGAAATAATATACATGTACTGCTTTCTTTCGAAAATCGACAACTATGAAACTATGATCCCTTCCCCGACACAAACGGTACATTGTGAGACAGGAAATTGTAGAGAGAAACAAGCCCTATAACATAGGATACAACATTTTAATGAACAGTGCTTTCCATAAAATCAAAAAAATGAATAATATACGAAATAATATACATGTACTGATTTCTTTCGAAAATCGACAACTATGAAACTATGATCCATTCCCGGACACAAACGGTACATTGTGAGACAGGAAATTGTAGAGAGAAACGAGCCCTATAACGTAGGATACAACATTTTAATGAACAGTTCTTTCCATAAAATCAATAAAATGAAAACTATACGAAATAATATACATGTACTGACTTCTTTCGAAAATCGACAACGATCAAACTATGATCCCTTCCCGGACACAAACGGTACATTGTGAGACAGGAAATTGTAGAGAAAAACAAACCCTATAACATAGGATACAACATTTTAATGAACAGTGCTTTCCATAAAATCAATAAAATGAATAATATACGAAATAATATACATGTACTGACTTCTTTCGAAAATCGACAACTATGAAACTATGATCCATTCCCGGACACAAACGGTACATTGTGAGACAGGAAATTGTAGAGAGAAACGAGCCCTATAACGTAGGATACAATATTTTAATGAACAGTTCTTTCCATAAAATCAATAAAATGAAAACTATACGAAATAATATACATGTACTGACTTCTTTCGAAAATCGACAACGATTAAACTATGATCCCTTCCCGGACACAAACGGTACATAATGAGACAGGAAATTGTAGAGAGAAACGAGCCCTATAACATAGGATACAACATTTTAATGAACAGTTCTTTCCATAAAATCAATAAAATGAAAAATATACGAAATAATATACATGTACTGATTTCTTTCGAAAATCGACAACAATGAAACTATGATCCATTCCCGGACACAAACGGTACATTGTGAGAGAGGAAATTGTAGAGAGAAACAAGCGCTATAACATAGAATACAACATTTTAATGAACAGTGCTTTCCATAAAATCAATAAAATGAATAATATACGAAATAATATACATGTACTGATTTCTTTCGAAAATCGACAACTATGAAACTATGATCCCTTCCCGGACACAAACGGTACATTGTGAGACAGGAAATGGTAGAGAGAAACAATCCCTATACAATTACCGCTCCCAGAAAGAAATTAATTAATAAGATAAAATTTGGTATAAAATAAAATTGTTACAAAAAAGTTAATAATACAAATTAAAACAGAATATCCAAACCAATCCAAGTAGATTTTTTCCACAGTTACAATACCTTCCAGCAAAAATTTAATTCAAATTTAGTACTTTTTTAAATTTTCACACTACCCCCTCAGGCTCAATCTCTAGATGCGCCACTGCTTCGGAGTGATATTCTACAATATTTATACAAAAATCAGCCATACACAAATTTATGTTAAGTAACTCTTATTTTGAGTTTTCTTTCTCACTCTGTATCTGCCAAGGTGTGACAGGGCGAACTCCCCAAACATGCCGGTATTAAAAGCACATGAGAGAACTACTGAAAGCCTAAGGTTTCATTCTTGTGAAAATAAGTTATGTCAGATCGCTCTGGGGTCGTGGATTAATATAAAATAAATAATAACACACGCAAGAAGTTATAACAAACTAGCATAGCAAACTAGTGTGTTATGAATTCCCTATCATATTTTTTATGTTTTTTAATGTTAAGGTAGGAAATATCTTCCAAAGAAAAATCCCCACCCGTTCTATATCTATTGCCTATCTAGACATAAACCTACCTTTGGCAATGGTTTGGGCTGCTTCACGTGCATGAAAGGAATCGGTATAGTCTGCGGCGTCAAGGGTCTGTTAGGATGAAAAAAAGGATTGACACTGATCATGAGCATGCTGGGCTTCCCGAAATCGTGAAACGACTTGAAATGTTTCCCAAAATACTTCGTCACAACCTGATTGACAGCGGGCTTGGCTATAAAATTCTCTAACAATTTGAACCAAATGGTATTGAAAGTGTATCTGATCTTCTTCCATATGGATAACTTCTCGCTGTAATCCATTAGACAGTCAGTGTACAAAGCTGGATGAATCGGGTTTCCTAAACTGGAATGAGTACTCATAGTGGTGTCCACACTCAAAATTCCTATCACTGGAGCATTGAATCTTTTTCCAAAAGAGTATAGTAAGGGCTGGTCCTCAACTATAACCAAATCAAAGTGCTCTTTAGGATTGTCCACTAGTTTTTTTACTTCTTCATTCACCATGACCTCTTCAAACAAGGATATTCCGTAAGCAAACATTGTAGTAATAAATTCCATGTATTTATCGGTTTGTAGTTTGGTCAGAACCGCGACGGGTCGATACAGGTAACTGATGTCGATTTCTGTTAGGTTTGTTAACGAAGAATCGTTCAAGGGGTTTGTGGTGATCACAACCACTTCATGACCTCTTCTTGATAGTTCCTTATACAAAGGTGCGTACACAACGTGATGGCTGTAAGAAGGGATGTTAAAAACACCGAGAATTCTTGCGCCGGAAGTCAAGCTTGAAGCCAGAAGGAGTATAATCCAGAACAACATGTCTACGGTGGACGTTCTTGATGATGTTCTATCCCGAGGTCTTAACCAGTAACACCGTCACATTGAACTGAAAAAAATACGCGGTGTTCCTGTATTTAAAAACGTTTTTAGATATCCTTAATCGTCGGTTAATTTATGAATGTACTTGTGTTTTTAGGGATTTCTTTCTAGTTGATTCGGCGACTTTGTATAACAATGGGTTAAAGATATCTTTGATTATCATAGAATAAATAGTATGATTTAGCTAGTAGTTTGGGTGTATGTATAATTGGGTATTTTGAATATAAAACTTACGTCATAATATACAGTTCATACCTACCAAATAAACTTTAAGTCACGTGATTAAGCTTGACCGGCACAGCGAAGCCCACCTTTATATATTTTCTTTTATAAAGGGCCATTACTACCGCTTCCTTGTTCGTTGCAGTGAGTTTTTTACGGCTATTAAACTATCTTGTACTACTTGGATTTTAGGATAGATGCCCATTGACAGCAAAAAATGGGGCAAAGTTGCGTATTGAGATGTTCACCAAGATGAAATCAAAAAAGTTTTAAAAATTTCAAGGATTGCTGAGTTTTAAAAATTTCAAGGAATGCTGAGTTGTACTCAGGAGAGCGAGTTCTTTCAAAATCTGAAATAAAAAATGCAGGTCCGTATGTAAAAAAAATAAGTTGGTCTCTGTATCTCGCAAATTATCAGCTAATTTGAAAATCTAAAAATACTCTCAGATAGCCCTAATAAAGTGGCTGTGAGAATCTGTAATTAGTTTTTTGATTTTCTAAAAAGTAACGACAGGAAAAAATAAAATTGATTTTCAAAAAAATCAGTTTTTTCCAAAAAACTCAGCAGTCCCTGAAATTTTTAAAAGTTTTTTGATGGTATCTTGGGGAACAGCCCAAGGCGCAACTTTGTCCCAATTTAACCATCTTCGTATCTATTACGGTTACCGAGATACCAATGCTCGTACCTCGAATTTGTAGCACCCTGTATATGATATATCGACCACACTTTTTCGAAGTACCCTGTACACATAAAAAATAAACTTAAATTGTGTATCTTAACCTTCTCTGAAGCTTTTTGTTATTTAAAACTTTTTTCATATTTACCAACATATAAAATAATGAACTTGACTTTCTCGTTGACTCACCCTGTATATAATTATTAAAATACCAACTATGGATTGTATCAAAAATATGTATAACTTTTTATGTAGGTGTCTGTTGAGAAATAAATGAATAATATTTCCAAAAGAATAGTTCATTTTAGGAATTGCTTAATCTTTTTGTTTGTCTACAAAAAATTAGAAAATTTTAAATTAAATTTAACAAAAGTTTGCAAATTTTTATGCTTTAACACTGAACTTTAAACTTTTTAAAATAATGTTAGAAAGAATTGTTATGTTATACAGAGTATTCATGCAACTAGTTCCTGCATGGTTCATAAAAATATGATCTAATTAAGATACAAATCGAAATGTTTAAAGTTGAGGTTATTACCTCTGAATACTGATTAAATAAGATTTTTTTATAGCAGTCGTTATGGCTAGTTTTGATTTATTAGGGAAAATAACATTTTCTGTAGCATTGTAACCAATAGCAATAGGCATTAACTACCAATAGCAAGATATTAAATCTATACTAATACATAAAATCCTTAAGTGACTGACATACTGATTAATCACGATCCTGCTCAAACCACTCAACATAAGAAGCTCAATTTTGGCATACAGGTTGATTCTAGGGTGTAGAGGTTCGATAAGAAGGGATTTTTCGAAATTCCGGTTCCAAGAGGGTGAAACCACCTCTCAAATATTTCAATATTTTTTATTTAAAAAACGGTCAAGTTTCCGATAAAACGCTTAAACACGTATATTTCATTTTGTTTTTTACATATTTTAAGATTTTTTAAAAATGTATACAGGGTATTTCGAAAAATCTGGTCATTGATTAATTACGATCCTGCTTAAAGCGCTTGACGTAAAAAGCTGATTTTTGGAAAACAGATTGACTTTAGGGTGTAGAGGTTCGATAAAAAGGGATTTTTCGAAATTCGAATTCTAAGGGGGTGAAACTATCCCTCAAATATTAAAATATTTTTTATTCAAAAACCGGTGAGTTTTTCGGAAAAACTCTTAAACACGTATATTTTATTTTGTTGTTTTACATATTTTAAGATTTTTTATAAATTTATACAGGGTGTTTCATAAAATATGACCATTGAGTAATCACGATTCTGCTTAAACTGCTTGACGTTTAAAGCTGATTTTTGGCAAACGGATTGACTGTGGGGTGTAGAGGTTCGATAAGGAGGGGTTTCTCGAATCTCAAATTCCAAGAGGGTGAAAACGCCCCTCAAATATTACAATATTTGTTATTTAAAAAACGGTGAGTCTTTCGGGAAAACGCTTGGACAAGCATAATTTATTTGGTTTTTTTACATATTTTGAAATTTTTTAAAAAATCATACAGGGTATTCCAAAAAGTTGGGTAATTTCTTAACCACGATTCTGCTTAAACTGCTTGACGTAAAAAGCTTATTTTTGGCAAACGGATTTTTCGAAAGTCAAATTCCAACGAGATGAAACTACCCCTCAAATATTACCAAGTTATATAATAATATCGCCATATTGTTTTTTTCTCATGCTTACATAAATGTGAGAAAATTTTATCCAGTTTGTATGTTAATGGAAATTCTTGCTTTGCTTTATCATCACCATTACAAATGATTAATTCGACGCGTACGAAGTCGCTGGTACACGCTAGTTCATAACTAAAAATATGAATGGCATTAATTATGTCACATGGAGTTTGAAGACAGATATAGTATGTTCAGCCAACAAATATATGGCAGTGTTGAATTGTCTATTACTTAATTCAAAGGTAGATTGAGGTTTCTGTAATTTTTTGACCATTTCATGTATTCTTCCAATCGAGATATTTATATGAATATGAAAGATAATGATTCGGCAATACACTAATATACATTTCGAAGCTTTTTTAGACAACGCAACAAAATTGGACTTTGTCTCATCACGATTTTGATAAAACAAATTTGTATATTATATTGGATTTGTATTTTATTAAATTTACATAGGAAGTAAAAACATTTCGTCTAGACATAATGAGGAAGACCTTGACAGAGCTTCAATAAAAATCGTACCTTTGGATGGAATTATTAGACACGATATTGACGAATGAAAATAAAGCCTATAAACATGATTCTTAAGGTAATATTTCGGTTTTATATACAGGATGGTCCGAGAATTGATTGATTGTCCCTGATTGGTTATCAGAGAAACGCCCCCTAGCGGACATTTTTCGAACTTGAAAATAATTTCCAGCGATTTGTCTTGGTCGATTTACTTATTAGAATTGTTTTCCCAAAGTTATACGATAAGTAGTTCCTGAGATACAGCCGGCGTCCATTCTTATAGTTGGCCACCCGGTACAGGGTGTCCTATTTTGGTTGAAATCATACGGTATCACCGTTATTCGTGAAAGATAGAAGAGTGCAGAACGAAAATTTTCATAGCCCTCTTCGTTTCTGAGCTACAGGGTCTTTTCGAAAATTTTGCAATTTGGAACAGCCCCCGTATCTCCGTTATTATGGATGATATCAAGAAGGTGAAAACTGATTCTTGTAGATTCTTTTACGTAGAATACAGTGGCGTAGTCCGTTTTTCTACGGAAAAAATATTTTTGAAAATATGAACTAAAGTTACAGTTGAGGGTTGGAACGAAAACTAAAATAGTGGGACAAGTTTTTGTACAGATTTGGTAAATTAAGGAAACCATAACTTTAACCCGCCATAACTCCCCGACTAAGAGGTCAACTCAAGAAATATCTCACATCGGGGAGCTCTGGGATGTCCTTTATCCATCTATATAAAAAACTTGATGAATTAATTTTTTTGTTTTTTAGGCTAATGTCCCGCATTTTCCGATTTCGTTACACTGTGCGGCACCCAGGTTTCGCTTCCATATAACATGGTGGGGATTATTATTGCCCGGTACACTGCAAGTTTCGTTTTTGTGCTGAAATCATGATTTTAGAAAAAGTTTGGTGTCCTCTAGGAAAAACGAACTATTTTCCCTGATATACAGGGTTTCGTTGGAAATTATGTCCAATGAACTTATTTTGATTCCCAAATTAAGTAGTAGTTCTATGTTCACGGATTATTGGAACACCCTGTATATTCTCTTATTGGAGCAACTATACTAACTCTGAGCGTCAAAATAAAGAAATATAAAGACCTATTACAATTTATATTTAGTTCCTGTTCCTACTAAACTATAATAAAAACAATAGTAAGCGCTTTTTCACTTCGTATTCAAAATATTTGTTAAGTTCGTTTTCGCAAAACCCATTGAAAAATAGACCATTAATTAAGATTACGTCAACAGGGTTCTTACCCTGTCAGAAACTCATCACCGCTGTTATCAAGCCTCCTTTAAATTATGTAAATATGAGAAATATTACCAAAAGTTGGTTAGCAAAAAATGTCGCTTTAATCTTTTGCAAATACCTGTTTTCATTATCATGACCATGACAACATTAATATTTTTTTAACTAGAATATTATGCGAATATTGTGATATCTAATTCAACGATGCGTGACTATATAAAATACTTTTGTATTTTAACTATTCATTGCAGCTTACTCATACTCATATACTGTAATCATCGGCGAAGCTTTCATTGATGCGGGTAATGCATCGCATCACTTCAAAATATTGTAATACGTTTTTATTTAAAAAAGTCACTGAGATCTCCTATAATAAATTAAAATTCTCAGTAAATGTATTCAAAATATTCAAATAATTAAATTCAATTATTTAATATGATGATAAAGCAAAGCAAAGCAAGAATTTCCATTAACATACAAACTGGATAAAATTTTCTCACATTTATGTCAGCATGAGGAAAAACAATATGGCGATAGTCGATATTATTATATAACTTGGTAATATTTGAGGGGTAGTTTCATCTCGTTGGAATTTGACTTTCGAAAAATCCGTTTGCCAAAAATAAGCTTTTACGTCAAGCAGTTTAAGCAGAATCGTGGTTAAGAAATTACCTAACTTTTTGGAACACCCTGAATGATTTTTTTAAAAAATTCAAAATATGTAAAAAAAACAAATAAATTATGCTTGTCCCAGCGTTTTCCCGAAAGACTAACCGTTTTTTAAATAACAAATATGTAATTTGAATTTAAAACTTTAGTTTTCTGTGAGCTTGCAGCTCTGCTTGGGAGTAGTACTTCAGTTAATATGTATTAGATATGCGATTTTGGATGTTATTGTCGATGTTGACATATTTACTTCAACACTATCTCAACCTTGTCAATGTAAAACAGTAGATAAATACCAAAACGAATACCCATGGTCAAGGATTATAAACATAATTGTTCTGCGAATGTTAGAAACGTATTAATAGGTACATACATATTTTCGGAAAAAAGATAAGTTCAGAGAAGCACAATACGGCGTATTAAAACAGTTATAAATTCGTAAATGTCAGAAAGACTTAATCTTAGAAACGCATGAAAAAAAAAACTTAGGAAAACATACAGGGTGGTCCAGTATATTGGAGGTTTCGTTTGATCTCTTTTATTTTACTTACAATATACAGGTGCTATGATAGAGCCTATAATATGTATATTACACTTTATTTTGTTAATACATACTCACCGACATGAAAAAAATACCTTAACAGTATTATTTGCTTATTAAAGGGATGACTCAAATCAAATACCTACATAATTTTCTTTTACAATATATCCTTTAAACAAAGCGATTTAAATGAATAGAAAATTTAATCCCTTTTATATAATTTGTAGTCTACAACACATGAATATCTGCGTTGATAGAGATATTCGTCAATAGAGTACTGATATTCTACTACATATTAAAAAAACGGCGTCAGAGTGGCATTGAAATGACAATCGATGATAACTTAGTTATAATAATATGTACAGGGTGGGTCAAATTCGACGCTTTTAAATGGAAACACCCTGTTCAATAGCAGATAGACGAAAACTAATATCGGTGTCTGGAGCTCAATTTTCATCAAAAACATGATAGTGAAAACCGCACATCAATATTTGTTACCGTTTAGGAGTTACAGGGTGTTTTTCAAAAATGTGCATTTTTAACAAATCGCTGTAACTTTTTTGCTATGGAAAATTTTGTATTTCTATGAAAACATTTCCAAAGCACCTTTTTACGTAGAATTTAATGGTAGAAGTACATTTTTTTTAAATTAATAATTTAAGAGTTATCAACAGAAAAATTGATTTTTTATTTGAGACACCCTCTATATTTTTAATTAACTGAAAAGAATTTAAAATTACCTTTCCAAAAATATAGCACACTTGATATTTTGTTATATTCCCCTTCGAAATACAGAATTTTTAACAGTTCGCCACTTTTAACTAGTAGGCTTTGGACCCCTTCTTGATGATATGCCCTTAATGGAACTCGAAAATATATTTTTCCAGCAAGAAGAGGCACCGCTTCAGAACGCTGAAGTTATCAGCAAATTTTTGCAGCCAATTTCAAGAATAATTTAATAGCTAACCAAGATCCCAGCCGTTGGCCGTCGAGGCCACCTGACTTAGTGCCCATGGATCTAATCCTATGGGTACATTTGCGGAAGAATAAAGGTTCCTTATTCTTCCGTATAATCTAGACAAGAATTAAAAATACTTAGCAGTTATGAGAGGGTATCTTTCCCCCTACAGACTTAATGAATTCCGCGAGAAATGTCCAGAAACGGCCCCGGTGCGGCCCCGTCTGTCCATAACAGAAGATGGTCGATATAACAGAAGACGGTTCAACACCTGCAGCAAAATCTCATGTCTTGGTTTGCTATTTATTTTTATTGTTATCAGATATAGTTTAAATGTGTTGATGTTGGTTAAATATATTTTAAGTTGTTATAAAATTCTGCATCTCTCATAGCAAATATTATTTTCGTTTTAATTGATGCTCACAGCTAGATTTTTTTTGCATTACAGCCGGTGCCATTCAAAGCCTACTTATTTAAAGCGGGCGAATTTCTGTATATTCTATCTCTCGAAGAGGAATCGAGCAAAATATCAAGTGTATTATATTTTTGGAAAGGCAATTTTAAATTCTTTTCAATAAATTAAAGATATACAGGGTGTCTCATATAAAAAATCAAATTTTCTGTTGATAATTCTTAAATTATTAATTTTAAAGAAATTATACTTAAACCATTAAATTCTACGTAAAAAGGTGCTTTGAAAATGTTTTCATAAAAATACAAAATTTTCGATAGTAAAAAAGTTACAGCATATTTTTGAAAAACACCCCGTAACTCCGAAACGGTAACAGATATTGATGTGCGGTTTTCGCCATCATGTTTTTCACAAAAATTGAGCTCCAGACACCGATATTAGTTTTTATCTATCTCCTATAGAAAATTAATAAAAAAATAATTTTGATAAAAAAATTAATAAAATTAGTAAAGATAGGAGGATGTGTGCGGTTTGCACACATCCTCCTATGTTTACTAATAACGGAGATACTGTATGATCTCAACTCAAATGGGACACCCTGTATAAAATAGATTTTCATTGAATCATTAGAGTGTATAGAAACAAATTGCGTATTGCAAAAAATTGCATTATAATACTTATTTTATTTAAAATAAGGTACAATTATACTGTAATACAAATTAGTAACATGGAAATAAATATTTATGATGATATATTATAAACAAATTAATCAGGAACAACATATGTGATAGAAGTTATTTCTATATCTTCATTAGTTGTGTTCCTTCTATATTTTTTGGCAGGTGTCGCACCACACTCAGTATTATTGCTGTGTTTAGGTGCATAATTCGATTGATTTAATGTTTCAAGGAAAGCAGTAGATACTGGAACCACTGGAAACCTATTTGACTGACATACAGTATTTTGTGGTAAACTAACATTATGATTTAAATGTTCTGTGGCACTACGACTTGAAGTAGATGGTACAGAATTAACAGATTTGCTTGAACTTAAGCTATTGTCTTCTGAGTCAGACAATATCACCACTCCTTCTGCTTCCGATGCGTCCATGATCTCAAATGTCATTGTGTCACTGATAGAGTTTTGTAAAGTCATTTTTTCACTGTTGTGGGAGTTGTAAAATGATAGCTCTTGGAATAAATCTCTCAACAAATGATATTTTGTTGTGAAATTTAAATTTGTTTGTGTAAGCCTGATCAATTTTTGTTTTACAGAACTATGGTTTAGACATTCTTAAAAAAATATATACAGAAGAGAAACAAAACAAGCATGCAAAAAACTTACCTGCACTTTTATAATAAACTTCTATCATATCAGTAACTCCTAGTTTTGGAGTACATACAATACTCCAAAAGATCCCGAATTTAATTTGAGTTGTTATGTCGCAATATACTATGATAATGCCACCATCTTTATTTTGCTGTATGGTCACAAAATTGTTTTTCTTTAGAATTATATCACAGATCAAACGCCGTGCTTCGATGTTTCTAGAAAACTGTATTAATACTTCGAACATCAACTTCAAATTTCTTCTTCGCTTAAGGTAATTACAACAGTATTCTAGTTCTTTTTTGGAGGTCCAGTTTTGGGGTTCTATGTCAAGTTTAAGCACTTCCATTTTGTCGTCCTGTAAGATTATAAGTTTAAAACGTAAAAGAAAGCAAAAATATAATTATTTACATATTGAAAAACCAATAGTTTCACTGTATATTTAACATTATATGTTATAAAATGAAACATATACGAAAGAGACTGCTTTTCTCCAAACACAGACTGTGAATGACTTTGTTGATATCTTGATATATCAAAATTTAAAAAAGTTAATTCATTTTTCCTATCGGTGAGTTGGACATCGAATTTTTGTAAAGCTTCCAAGACGATTTCTTGTAAATTTTCTTTTTTCATACAGTCGTCTTTGAAACGTGACGGCTCTGCTATCTCTTTCCTTTCTTTATTCATGATAAACTTATTTCTTTTTTACCTATATTACAAAAAATTGGAATATAAACTCGATCATAAACTATTTTTTCTTATAATCATCTTATAATAGAATTTGATTAACAGCTGATTTTGATTATTTGATTTAATAGTTCAAATAAACACGTATTGTTATGGTTACATCTGATAAAAAGAAGATTAGTTTAATAATTCTCTTCTTTAGCAAATAATATGGGCGAGTATCACTAAGGCCTTGCCTGCCAATCCAGATTAAGATTTTTTAAATCATATGCTATAATCATATGTTACGCGTAAAAGTCCTTTGCTAAAGCCATTTATTTTAAAAGAAATGAGGCAAACTTCAGTTTTTTAATCTACAACTTAACACATTAACCTGAAAAATTTGACGTAAAATTAATAAATATTTTTATCATTTAATCAGTGAATAATATTTTTATTTTAGTCTTCTTAGCAAAATAATAATTAAGTTCTAAAATTGTAAATAAATATGGATTTACAAACAAATCCTTATAGAAAAATGATTGCAATGACAGTTTCTAGCATTTTAAAGGAGGCTAATTTTGATACAACAGAAAAAGAAGTCCTAGGAACGCTTACAGAAATGCTTCAAGCATGTAAATATATACATAACAATCATACAGTATCTTAACTTTGCTTACTACTTTCGTTTTTAGTTATATGTGAAATAGGGCTGTTGACTAAGAACTATTGTGAACTTTCTGGCAGATCTGAACCTCTTATTGCTGATGTTATTTTAGGATTTGTTGATATGGGTTAGACATAATTTTTATATGTTTATCATTTATTAATAATTATGAATTTTCAGGTTTCGATTTTAGTTCTCTTGAAGCTTATGTAAAATCAGGGAAACATACTATTTTACCAGCTTTACAGCCCCAACAGCCTCAAAAACAACTTAATATGCTCTCAGCGGGAAAAAAACAAACACTGCCTAGTCATATTCCTGCACATTTTCCACAGTTTCCCGATCCACATGCATATGTTCGAACACCTGTAAGTTATTTTCTAATAATTTTATAAAAAGTCTTTTATTAAACATTTCTTATTTAGACTCACAAACAACCGATAATTGACTATGAATCGGTTAGAGAAAAAGCTGCTGCTCAGAAAAAAGATGTTGAAAAGGCTTTGACAAAGTTTCTTGCCAAGACAAGTGCCACTCATAACCTTTTTGATACTGAAGAAGGGAATATTTTTCCATGTATGTTGACATTAATTATTCATTTTCAAATTGCTTTTATATCTAATTTATTTTAGTAATTGCTCTTAAGCCACCGTATCCACCATATTTGAGCGCATTGTTGCCTCAGGATCAAATATTTGATCCAGAAGATTTGGATTCTGATCCGAAGTCTTTAATTATGCAACAACAGAAAGAACATAAAGAGGCACAGAATGCAAGGGAAGAAAAACTAGAGGAACCTATGGAAGAAGATGAACAGCCACTAAATGACACAATAAAGTCTGAAGATAATGCACAGAGTAATGCATTTATTGATAATCCGTATTTAGCCGCTACAAAGATGCCTTCTAAAGATATCATAGATGTGTGTTAATGTTTAATAATAGATTTAAAAACATATTTATATTTTTTTTGATAAATAAACCTACCCCCTAGTTGTATATATATTTTTGGTTTACAAGCAATAAAGTTCCAGATTTTGAAAAAATGTGTAATTTGTAATATTTTAAGATTATTTATGCGCGATTACACAAATTATAAAACGCACAGAATTAATGTACATACCATTACTGGATCTGTGTCTGCGAAAATGCAGACACTATATTGGAGTATTATTAATTTACTACAAAGTACAAAACATAATATTTAAATAAAACAATATATTTTATAGATACTTTTCAGGGAGAATCATAGGAGAATCCGCGCCATTTATTTTATATTTCTCTATGGTTCACGCGTCCACGCTGACTACTGACCATAGACAAACTAACAAAAGCTTTTGTTAGTTTATCTATGCTACCAGAGAAGTAAATTATAAATAGAAATATGACTTGACAATTTAAGCCTAACAAATAAAAGAGAAGAACAGATGCTGACTTCGGAAGCCTGCACCGATTGCACTTAAAACGTCAAAGATGTCAATAGCCAATAAATTTCCTATCATTTCCTATTAGTTTAAATGAGTTATCAAAAATTGGTGAATTATTTTTACAATGACTTAAAGAAAAACAATATAATGCTTGCGCAAACCTAAATTAAAACGTAACAGTGCTAGACGCAAGTGTACTTCGAGTTTTCGTTGCAAACTCGTTGGTTAAACGAGTTCTTCATCCTGCCCAATACACACATAATTTCCGCTGGTACCATTTGATTAAAGAGAAACATTCTCCGGTAGAATTATGTAATTAAATCAACGATGTTACAATCGTGTCCTGATTATCACGAATATGTGTTTGGACGGTCGAAGTAATTTGTAATAGTTGGGTGTTGAGGCCAGTACGATACATATCAGAATTAACAATTTAAGATCAATTTTTGAAGAATTATGATGAGTTATAATATCAAATGGATTATTCCCACTTTAAGAGCACCCTCCAGCTTGTGGAAGTGGGCCAGTACAATTACCATGGTTGCTGTAGGACTGTTTAGTAAAATATTAATAAGTAAGTACGTTTTCTTTAATATAATATATAAGAGAGATTTGCAAATATTATTTATAGTTTTCAATTGTCTTTATATACTCCTTTATACAACTACAATGTTTATATTACAACTACAACATTACAGATAGTTGTAGTTGTAATATAAACATTGTGTAAGTAGTCATTGCGGCATTTGAACAGACTGTTTGACAGTTTACTGCTCGCATCACACCTTTTCTGTTTTACTATTTCTTTTGCTGTTTTTGCTATCTGTTTTACTGTATCTATGCTGTCAGCTTTAAACCTCTATAAAGAGAGAGCCAAAACATTAAAATAGGTAGCAAAAATGGCGAAAGAGTAAAAACAGTGAAACAGAAAACAGACCGCAAAATCAGTAAAAGTCTGCTGCCTGTCTAAAGTTGTAGGTAATTTAAAGGCAGTGGGGAAGTTCAATATACAACAGTTTTATCTTACTTTACTTAAGTTTAAATATACTAATTTTATTCTTTTGAATATAAATTTTATGTTTAAAATTATTAATTTTCTGTTTCAATTTTCAATTGCATTTCTAATCACAAAGATGGTAAGTACAATTCCTAAAATTTAGATTTGTTCACCATAGCTATCATTTTAAGGAGGCTTAAGTGCTTTACATTAAAAAATTAACTACATTCAACGCTAAATATGGTTTAATTATCACAATCAGACATTTTTGTACAAAGGCACACTTGATTTCATCTGTTACGTATTGTAAACTTTTTTAGAATGTAGCTAGGCAAAAAGTAGTGTTACACAATTTGGAAATTTCCTATTTCATAAATTGTTACTCAGTTTTTTTAAACTAATAAATAAAATGATGCTATTTTTTATTTTTCTACTTTTCAGAATTGTTGAATAAGTCAAAAATACACAATAGACATATCATATCAAATTTACTGGAAAAAAGGGATAAATCTAGACCTCTGGTTACTGTTTCCAATCACCATTCGTGCTTTGATGATCCAGGGATATGGGGTATGTATGTGAAAAAATAGGAAACTTAAAATTTCTACATATAAAAATTATTACTCTTGTATCTAAATAGGTACATAAAATATTGTAAGTGTATTTTAATCAATTCTAACAGGTTATCAACATTTTAATTTAGAACAATGAAAACTATAAAAAGTGAATTTATTTAGCTCTGATAAATGGGTAAATTTTTTATTAGTCCTGATTAACAGAAATGATAATACAAATTTTGTAGCCTGTTAATATTCGATGGAGTAATTTAAAGCTATTAAAAAATGTTATTTGTATAATAGGAGTTTTATTTTTATTAAGAAATGTATTTAGTTTTTAACAAGAAACACTTTAGATTTTTTTATAATAAATGTAGATACGTCTAATAGTTCATCAAGTTTTTTTGTTTGTTTTACTTAAACACATCATTTATCTTGAGTTAATTAATTATGCTTTTCTGTCATTATTTTTTTTTCAATATGGATATTTATCGTCCATTTTATTTTTGATTAATTATATATTTTTATTTATCTTATTTTTTAAATACTTTTGAACAATTAAGATTATTTTTTTTTCTATCATGAGTTTATTGCCTACATACAACAGTATTTTAGGAATTTTTATTTTTTAAGTATTTTATGTTTTCTTTGTTTAAGCATGTTGCAAAATCTGATATTTTATCAATTATAGTCGTTTTAATTGAGTATATACAGGGTGTCCCAGGCTAAGCGTGCATTAAAAGTTTCTAGAGAACTACAATATCTAGATCGGACATTTTTTGCACATCATTGTTTTACAATGAGATCTATTGATTAAAAATATTTTCAATATGGCAGCACTTCCAGGAAGTTGACAGCAACTTTCGTATTTTAAATGTTTTGTTTTATTACATACTTAAATTCTCTGTAAAATTTTATGAATTTTGATATTAAACGCTCTATATCTAACATGAACCGTTTTTGAGAAAAAAAAATATTTAAAATTTTTGGACGAAAAAAACTGCTTGCCAAAAATATGTGTATAGTCTAAACGTCAAATTTAGTGATTACCACAGCCACTGTGCCATAAAGAGAAGACATCGTGGCTATCTATTTCAAAAATTAAATTGTTTGAATGTCATATAATAATGACTGCAGCTGTCATGGAATTGAGAGATTAAAAAAGTATCATAAATAATTTTTTTCAAATGGCAACCCACTTTTTTTATTCCACTAGTGAAAAGGCTTTTCAATTCGCTACTTTTTGACTATACATGTTCCTATACCTAAAATAAATCGTTTTTAAGTTATTTAAGATTTAGTTTTAAAGCATATATTTTTCTTGATTTTAACAAGTAACCTATGACTTTAAACGTCAAGTGATGTAGAACAATAGATCTGGCCATGTCATATTGTGACACTTTGTTCAAAAAGCAGTATGTTATCGATCATCCAGCAAGCCAACTTTGCGTTTTTTTTTTCAGGGTTGATACAGTACATTATTAAGAAAAAAAAACTCAAAATTTAAGTGAGGATGCAGTCAATAATCACCACATAGGCTAATAAAACTACTTTTTTCAAATTTGTCAAGCTTTCGAGAATTTTATTCCCATCATCAGGACAGTTTGACTGAGTCAATTAGCAAAAAAACATCCTCTGCACAAAAAGGCCTTAAAAACTAGCCTCGTATGACATTGGAATACAAGGACATTTCCTTTATAAAATATTAAAATATATATCCAACGACATTACTTTTCTTTTAAACACAAACAAAAAAAAATCTTTTTGCTAATTGACTCAGTCAAACTGTCCTGATGATGGGAATAAAATTCTCGAAAGCTTGACAAATTTGAAAAAAGTAGTTTTATTAGCTTATGTGGTGATTATTGACTGCATCCTCACTTAAATTTTGAGTTTTTTTTTTCTTAACTTAGTCAGTCACGACTGACCTGCTATTTTTGTACATTATTAATATAATTAATAATATGAACTATTATAAATCACTACGGAGCGAAAATACGAGATATATTTTTATAAATACACTTTTTAAACTTTTAAGCAACAGTATTTACAATATAGGAAATTCAAATAGTTTGTTTTCTGACAGATGGAAATAAATTGTCTGACTTTTTGACACTTAATGAAAAAGGAAGCTAGATAAAATGAAGAAAAATATACGTTTTCAAACTAAATCTTAAATAACTTAAAAACGATTAATTTTTGGTATAGGAACATGTATAGTTAAAAAGTAACGAATTGTAAAACCTTTTCACTAGGGAAATAAAAAAAGTAGGTTCCATTTGAAAAAAATGTTTTATGATAACTTTTTAATCACTCAATTCCATGACAGCTACCGCCATTATCATACGACCTTTGAATAATTTAATTTTTGAAATAGATAGCTACATGTCTTCTCTTTATGTGACAGTAGCTCTAGCAATCACTAAATTTGACTTTTAGGCTATACAAAATTTTTTGAGAGGTAGTTTTTTTCGTCCAAAAATTTTAAATATTTTTTTTCTTAAAAACGGTTAATGTTTGATAAGAGTGTTTAACATCAATATTCATAGAATTTTACAGAGAATGTAAGAATGTAATAAAAAATAGGGGCGGCTATTTAAAATAAGAAAGTTGTAGCCAACTTCCGGTATTTCCGGAAGTGCCGCCATATTGAAAATATTTTTAATCGATATATCTCGTTGTGAAACAGTAATGTGCAAAAAATCTCCGATCTAGATATTGTGGTTCTCTATAAACTTCTAATGCACGCTCAACCTGGAACACCCTGTATACTATATTACTTATAAATTAAATTGTGTTATTCAGATATCCTGATGGATGACATTGGCACACCCTGTATAGATGGAATATTAAAACCATTTAACGCTGGTTTTTTTCGTTTTTTAGGTACGCTCGGTTTAAAACACCTGCTGAGACCATCGAAAATGCGCTGGTCATTGGCGGCCCACGACATTTGTTTCACCCGCGCCCAGCATTCCTACTTTTTCAGTTTGGGCAAGTGCGTCCCTGTAGTACGCGGCGCGGGGGTGTACCAAGATGCCGTCGATTTCATGATAGAAAAATTGGGCAAAGGTGATTGGGTTCATATATTTCCGGAAGGTAAGTGCCTATTGTGTGGTGTAGATTATTTTGTATTAGTAAAATCACAGATCATACAGATTATAAACTTTGTTTTCTCTTTATAGTTTTTCGTGGTTCCAATTTTCGGAATCGGGTACTAGTTAGGTGACTCGTTTGCGCACATAGCACGCCCACTTATGGCCTCTAAAATTGTGCACAGCGCCTGAACGGCCCAGTTATTAGAGAGATGTCGGAAAACCGAATAGCGTCATGCAGTATTTACGCGTACCTTATCATGGTTACGATATGCGCGAGTCAATTTTTAACGCAACACCCGCTTATAACGTTACCGCCTGACGTAATTTGCGGATCAATTAGACCAAGCGCTATTTCTAAATAACGTTTAAAAATTGCTTAAATGGGCATGTGCGGGTAGATTTGACAACCGGGGCCGGCCGGCGAGCGGCGAGATCTTTTATTTTAGGTTATGTTTGAATTGTTTTGAATTATTACTTTACTTTTATTAGGTAATTTGATATTTAAGTAGCTGGGATTAGTTTTAATTAAATAAATATGGCCCAAAATATAGATTCCACCTCTTCCAATATTAAAGAACCTATAAAGAGGCTTAGGTTTACAGCAGATGACGACTTAGCCCTTCTAAGAGAATTTGTTGCTTGTTGCCCTAAACCCACTGGCAGACGTTGAACAATGAAGCACTGGAAATAAGCACTTTAGCCCTTTTGTTTTAAAATACCTAGTAAAAAAAAGCTAGGTTAAGTTTAAATAGCGGACGCGACGCGAACAGAATTCTTTCCGATCCGATAACTATAAATGAAGAGAGTTAATACCACCTCACGTAAAGGAAATAACACCTGGCCTTATTAACGTCCATGCACGCTATTCGGTTTAGCGATATCTCTCTATTACGCTGTTTATTGTTATTTTACGCGAGTTTATTTTTGCGCACAGGAAATTTTACTCGTTTGCACATCGTCATAAAAAACAATTTTCGTACCACGAATTAGGGATAATATTTTTATCTGTATACATATAGTACACCTAATCTGTGGTAAAATCTTTCCTAGATATTAGAGAACAACGGCATACGGTCGAGTCGGCCGCTGCTGGCACGTATACGTAGACGTAGAGAATCTTTTACGTGTATAAAAAATAAAAAATATAAGAAATGCGCATGCGTACGTAAACGTTTACGTGTTTGTAGGCTGACTCGACCGTATGCCGTTGTTCTCTATTTACAGTAGAGATGTGGAAAAGAGTCACGAGCTCCGCTAACGGTTTTGCTCTATGATTTATGGTTTGGAATCAATAAACTTGTCTAGAATTCTAAGTAGAATCTTAAGATGCAATAAACTACAGGGTAGTCGATTTAAAAAAAATTGGTCAAGTGCGAGTCGGACTCGCGCACGAAGGGTTCCGTACCATTCATTATCTATACAAAATTAGACACTGTATTATTATAAATATTTTTATATATATATATATAATTTTAAAAAAATGAAGAAACACATTACTAAAAATTGTATTAATCAATAATAAATATGTAAAAAGTAAAAATAAACATGTAAAAATTAAAAAAAAAAGGATTAAAAAAAAGTCGCCTTGACTAGGATTCGAACCTGCCTTACTACGGCTCCAACGTCATAGCAGCGTAAAGTCCTAAGGCTTTAACCACGTGGCCACCGAGGACTTGAAAGATTCTATGTAAAATTCTTACTTAAAAGATAATGTTTAGCGAAAGTAATTTTTTATTTATAAACATTTATTTAATTCTGTTTTTAGTATTTGTTCTTATAACGGCAACATAGATACATTATCTGTAAAAATTTCAAATGCCTAGCTATAAAGGTTCATAAGATAGAGCTTTGTGACAGACGGACGGACAACGAAGTTTTAGTAATAATAATATATACAGGGTGTTTCAAAACATATGCGAAAAACTTCAGGGGGTGATTCCTTGTTCAAAATAAAGGGTAGTTTGCTTCATAAACGTTGGGTCAAAAGTCAACCATTAGGGAGATATCGCGGTACAAAGATGGCGGAAAAATAATGTTTTTATTTTTTATCTTGAAAACGATAAGAGATAGACTAACAAAATTTTATGGAAGCATTACTGTTATGAAAACACACTTTCTGATAATTTTTTCATTTTTTTAAAATGAGTGGAAGGGGTTGAAATAAACTACCCCTATCATTCTTGTTAACGAAATTTAAAGAAAAATCTTATCAAACACATGCAAAAAAATTAATTTGGATAGTTTAGTTTGTTTAGAAACTTTTTCATCTCTTGTATTTTTTTGATAAAACTCACCGATTTGAAATTAAAAAATAAAATGTAAAGCATTACATGCCAGGACAAAAAACATTTTCTGATAAAGAATCTAGTGGGCTGCTGTAATTTTTTTAGGAAAACATCTAGTCGGCCGCTGTTACTTTTAAGGATGTTCCTAATATTATTTTATTTGACATTACTCTACTGCAATACGTTATTATCTAGATGATTATTATTATCGTTATTATCACTAGATTCTTAATCTAAAAATGTTTTTTGTCCTGACATGTAATGCTTTACATTTTATTTTTTAATTTCAAATCGGTGAGTTTTATCAAAGAAACTTTCCGCCATTTTTGTACCGCGATATCTCCCTAATGGTTGACTTTTGACCCAACGTTTATAAAGCAAACTACCCTTTATTTTGAACAAGGAATCACCCCCTAAAGTTTTTCGCATTTGTTTTGAAACACCCTGTATATCCCATCGTGCGTGAAGAAAGCTTTGATTAATCCTGTGTAATGATAAAGATTTTTTTTACATAACCGCTGTAGACATTACAATGAACGCTGAGAATAGTTGGAGTCGTTGGACAATGTTTTTTTTGTCTTTTCCAGGTAAAGTGAACATGACCAAGGAATATATTAGGTTAAAATGGGGCGTTGGCAGGATGATATTCGAGTCGCCCATCCCGCCCATCGTGGTTCCGATCTGGCACGTGGGAATGGACGACGTGCTACCGAACGAACCGCCCTACGTTTTGAGGTTATGGAAGAATCTAACTTTCAATTACGGCGAACCCATAGACACAACGGATATGGTAAGTAAATAAGGAATAATACTATAGAATTATATATCATTTGATAAGACTATAAAAACGTTGATCTAATAACAATTTGACGTTTATACTATTACGCGAAATGCAACTTTTTTCCAAAGCCTACCATGACTTCACTGAATCATCTTTCTAGTTCACTATTATTAATATCTTAATTATTAGATATTAATACATCTGGTATTATGGTATTCAGGTATTTCGTTGATTTTAAAATAAACTAACTGTTTCTATCTTATTTTTTTGTTTGAATGGGCCTAATCAAGAGGGCTACTGATACTGTATTGTAAAAATAAGGTAATTAAGGGTTTATTTTTTGGTATTTATTATAATTTTGCTAATATCTTCGGTTTGAAAGAAGAGATCAACTTTTTAACCCTTTATCGTATTTAATTTTTTTGAAAAAACGCGCTATGTTTGTTAAATTGTAAGAAAGCGCCCCCTAGAGTCTACGTTCACAACCTTATTATTATTATTTTTGTGGTATAATATAGAGTAAGGAACGCTCTTTTAAACGAGCACTCGTTTGTTGGATTCTGATCATCCAGTCCGGAGTTATTAACATTTAAATCAAGATAGATCTAACCTTCCCCCACTACTTTATTTTAGCAGATAGGGGAAAATGGTTCTAACAAAAAAAATCCAAAATTTACTGAAAATTATAAAGCTATTATTTATAGTACCTATTATCTAGGCAAAATTCTGTAAAAAATCTATTTTCTTATTTCCCATAGCTGTTGCGCCACCTAGCGGCCGTTTTACAAACTTGAAACTAATTTCCAGCAATTTCTTATAGCCCCTTTAGTTATAAATATTTTTTTCCGTAAGCCCTACGGCTCATACTTTCCGAGATACAGCCGAGAGCTGTTCTTAGTGGGACACCCGGTACAGCGTAATAGACTTTTAAAATGCTACTTTTATTCACGTAGGTTATAACATCTAAACGGAAAACTTTGTTTCCTTGTTAAAGGTGAGAGCTCTGAAAGCGCAGAACGCGTCGGACGAAGAGGCGAGGAAACACATAACGGATTTTCTCCAAGAAAGACTGCAAGAACTGAAAATAGAAACGGAAGCGTTGCACGCGCAGCACTTCAAGCTGAAATCTTGATAATCGTTTGGTAGGTTTTAAAAGAGAACGGTGTGACTGAATTTACTTTACTATTAGCTCTGTGTAACACGGCCCTGCTTTGTTCAAAAGAAGCTATAATATAATCTGTAAGATCTGGCTAATAAATTATTCTGGACTTTAAAAGTTAAAATGTTATAGCATATAGTTAAAAATACAATATTTTTTTATTAACATATATAAAAGCTTATCTGTATAGTTATTTTTTGGATAAATATATTATATTATTCCAAAATAATAAAAAAAATCAAACAACCAAGTATTATAGACTGATACTAATATTAAGATGAATTATTAAGACCTGTATATGACGTTTGCTTAACCATAGATTATAAAACTAAACAGCAATTTTTATAAGATTTAAAAACAAGTTACTAAACTAGTGGATGGAGGGGTGACCGTCGTGCTTTTGTTCCATGGCAAGAGTTTAAAAATCTACCCAGTGAGCATTTTATTCCTTTAAGGGTGTTCTAGGTGACGTCGTTGTTACGTTACCAAGCCCTTCTTTTGCCTGATAAAAATGAATAAAACTACACTCACCGGCAAAAAAAACTGGTCCCAATTTCAAAGTTGGATTTCTCGCGAACCGCTCATTAGATTTTGATGATTTTTTTTCAATTGTAAATTAATTCCTTCTTAACGGATGCTACGTCAGCAATTTTTATTCCGAATTTATTTTGAGCATATACACGGCACAACAATAAGACGAAGTTTTTTGCCCGAACTTTGTAACACCCTGTAGGGTGCAGCAGGTGTAGTAGCTATTGCGAAATCAAATCACATTGAAGCCTCATCTTTGTGAGCATTTTGTTTTTTTAATCACGACATTATCTCTGTTTGTATTGGTGATACGCTGCTTTAAACGAACGCATCGAAAAAAGCTTTAAAAACAAATCAAACATCAGAACGTAGGCAAGTTTAATTTGAAAACTAACTAAAACATGAAAATTAAAAAGAATGGTAAAGAAATTTTAAGGGACTAATATCTAGTGTCCACTCGCCGACCGATTCCAGGCATCCTGGACTGTTGTTCAAAATATACCCAGTACCCAGGGTATTGGAGACATAACGTTGACTTCGCCCACTCTCAATTAAAGCCACAATACAAGCAACATCCGTTACAGATAATGGCATTTTTTAATTTGACAGTCGTTGTGGTCATATTGCAAATACTCATAAATCCGTTTTCGCCTATGTCGCCTTGATTATTTACACATAAATTTTTCCGAGACGTTCGTTTTAAAACAGCATATCTCCAATACAAAAAGAGATAATGTGGCGATTAAAAAAACGAAATGCTCACAAAAGATGAAGCTACAATGTGATGTAATTTAGCAATAGCTACTACCTCTGCTGCACCCTACAGGGTGTTACAAAGTTCGGGCAAAAAACATCGTCTTATTGTTGTGCCCTGTATATGCTCAAAATAAATTCGGAATAAAAATTGCTGACGTAGCATCCGTTAAGAAGGAATTAATTTACAATTTAAAAAAAAAATATCAAAATCTAATGAGTGGTTCACGAGAAATCCAACTTTGAAATTGGGTCTAATTTTTGGTGGTCGGTTTTTTTTGCCGGCGAGTTTATATTAAAAAATTCTCTATTAAAATTACTAGATATTTGAAAAATTATTATTAAATGAAGTCTAAATAAAATTTAAATGAGTTAAAAAAAATAAATAATTAAATGAAGAGAAAGTCTGAAATAAATTTAATAGTATGTACGCAAATATAAAAAAAATATTAGAAATTTCTGTCAAACTAATACAAGTCTGATATTTTAAAATAAGTTTAGAAGATACATGGATTATACACGGTGGGCCGAACTGTATTCCAGAAACTTCGGCAGCATATTCTGCAGATAAAAATAAGTAAAAAAGTTTGTATAAATGTATGCCCTAAAATGCTGAGTTTCGGAGATACATGTTTTGTAGAAGTATCAGTTATATTTCGAATTTATACAAGTACGAACGAAAAGTTATTACTCTGCAAAACAGTTAAAACACATGTAGGTGATGCCCCCTACAAACAGGAGTCATACTGACCTCAAAATCAAATTTCTTATGTCAAAAAACTCCCAGACACCAATTTTCATCTAAATATTGACGTTACTTCAGAAATTATTTGGGAAAAAAATCGAAATAAAAATAAAACTTCTACACCATGTATCTTCGAAGCTAAGCATTTTAGGACATACATTTATACGAACTTTTTTACTTATTTTTATCTGCAGAATATGCTGCCGAAGTTTCCGGAATACAGTTCGGACCACCCTATATTTTATACTTTATATAACTTTATGTATTGCTACCAATGAAAAAAGAAAAAAGAAAATGTGTCTCATACATTATTCTGTTATGTAAAATTCAATTTTTCTTATATAATTCTTGTTTTAATAATATATCTATCTTTTCTATATACATTATAAAACTATTTTATTCTTAAATTGCCCATACTTGTACAGTTCTTGGATTTAAAATTACCAGTAGTTAAGAAAATGAGTGTCGTGTATTATTCTGTTATGATCAATTTAATTTTAGAAATACAACCACAGTTTTAGCAACAATGATATAAGTCGTTTAACAAATGTTTATGCTAATATACATAAAAATACTTCTTTTGTGCAAACAGGGCTGGAGAATTACTAAAATGAGATTATCCTAATACGCTTTTTAAGTTTACTGGAAAGTTTACTACCCATAATGCAATCTTCTCGCTAATAATACAAACAAATATAAAATAAATATGCAAGATAACAAATAAATATATAATTTAAGGCATTCCCACTATTTCATTAAATGACTAAAAAACGTTTTCCTTATATATTTTAAGTTCTAGATAATAACAGTGATTGTTTTTATTGTCTTCCGCCAGTTTACCCTGTGCATTATTCATTATATTGTTACAGGATTTTTAAGTATTGTTAATTAAATGAAAAAACAACCCTACTTATCTCAAGTCCTGTTCTTATAACTACGTTATATCAGTTCAGAACCAATGAGAGATAAGTTTTTAAATTTATTGAATTTTATTAAGGAATAAATTATTTGGAATGAGGTCAAACAAGAGCCTAAAAATTCCGACTTCACTTATGAGCATTTAACGGGATAGGCAATTATTACATTATAGTACTAGAGCTAGCAAAGTCGGAAAAACAAGTATTTTAAGACGTCTGGCTCTTTGATATATCTTTTACTATGCTCTCTAGAACAGCATGCGGCCCGTCTGGCTGCTGGTAAACGTTGCGTCCCCTACTGCGCATTGAAAGAAGATCCTATATTTTTATTTGGTCTTTTAAATACTAGTATTAAATATAAATCGAACATGTCTCCATAGCGCAGTGCGTAGAGTTTTTGACCTGACCCGGATACGAATCATTGGTTCGTGGTCGGAAACTCTACGCACTGCGCTGTGGAGACATGTTCGGTTTATATTCAATACTGGAATTTATAGGATTAAATTAATAAAAAATATAGGGTCTTCTTCCGATGCGCAGTAGTGAACGCAACGGGTATCGGCAGCCAGACCCGCATGCTGTTCCAAAGAGCATAGTAAAAGATATATCAAAGAGACCGTTTACACTCTGAGTTTTTCAAAATCTTTTATTTAAGGCAGTAAAATCTGCATCAAATTTACATTACATTGCACTATTAAATATAGAAATGTTAAAAAAGAAACAGCAAGTAAAAAACTAATAAAGAAATAACCTAATATAGAACAGTATTTCAAAAACACTACTACAATAATTAAAAACTCCTTGCAGGAAATCCTTATAACGTAGTTATGAGAACAAGGCTTATTTTCTAGACTATTTTAATTCGTGACCTTCTCTTCTTATTGCTTATTAGGCCTTAGCTGCCTCAAATATCGATAGAGTGGACATTTTCAAAGGAGTTCGACTGGTGCAGATTGTTAAATTTTTTCGAAAAACAATGCAAGTTAGCGGTGGAATTTACCTGTAATTTTAGTTATTATTTATGAAAAATAATCTGGAAAAATTAAACGATTTGTACTGGTTTGATCGACGACGGTATGATTTGTAAGAGAAACTAGTCAAGAGTGAAAAAAAATATGTATTATATAATAAATTGCCATTTGCAGCATTGTTAGAGGTATATAAAATGTGAAAGTACGTAGATTTTGTACATAGAAAATTAATTAAATATAATTAAATCAAATATATATGGTGTGTTGCTTGTGGAAAGTGCATTAGAATATTTTTATCAATATATTAATTAGTATAATAGTGATCGAAAAAAAACGGCGTCAACGATTGCTATGAAATGAAGATCGCTGTCATTTTATATTTAAAATTATATGGGAAATGTCATCCATGTTCATTTCTAAGCCAACCGGACGTCGTTTTTTTTCGGTCATTTGGTATATTCTTTTATTAGGAGTAAAAGTGACACTTTTTGTGGCGATGCTATACGTTTGACATTACAGGCTAGGCACAAAAAGTCATTTTTACTTTGACTAGAACATGCTATTTTTTTAAACGTTACAAATAATTTTTTAAACAATTTCAAACGTTCTAAATAGTATAAAAAGATTTAAAAGTAATAATTATACATTGAAAAATTATGGTTACACTCGTTGAATTAGACATTTTGGTCGCGGTCATCAGGGCGTTAAAATTGATTATCAATCACGTCCCTAAAATTAATACTTTTGTGACGTTTTAAAAAAACGGTGTTTTTAAAAAAACTTAAAGCTCTCTAATATATCTCAGGTTTATACTGTAGGACGTAGAAATAACATATGTGATTTAATGAACAAATGAAAATTACCAGTTTTGTATTAAGATAATTATAAAAATTACCGTCTCGATTTTTCGAAAGTGTCACATTATGTAAAGGTCATATTAAATGTTTTTTGTTTTTATATTTTAACATTTATATGACCGTAAGAAATGGAAATTATAAGGTTTTTTAATATCCTTGAAAATGCTATATAAAATGGTTCTTTGTTTTTATATTTACTAAAATAGCATTGGTAGATACCGTATGATAAAAAAAATGGCGTTATAGACGGCTGGGGAATGGCAGTCGATGATAATTTTGGCGAGGTCGATCTCTAGACATCATGTACTAAAAAAATATTCTTGGCACATAGTAATCAATGCGCGAAACTGTTAAAAAACAAATGTAACTTTAGTGCACGTCCACACGCAACTATTCCACTTATTAGTCTCCAGAAAAAACTTCCATTGGTTGTGGTAAATAAATTTGAAAAAAAGTTATATTGTTGATTAGTTTTAAGTGAAATTGTTATTATTTTAAAGAAAAAAATTCCAATCAATTTGTAATAATTTTACAATTGATGTTATTGTATATAATTTTAATTATATTTGTTTTTGTATCCTGAAACCTGTATGTTTAATTGAAATGCTTGTTTTTGTCCCTTTGTAAAAACATGTTTTTTCTTTGTTAATGGTAGTGAAATAAACGAATTGTTTTTAATATGACTATAGTTTTATTTACAATATTTATTTAATTGATCTAACACGGCTTGGTAGTTGATAGCTGTTTCTCCTTCAGACCTAAAATATTGAAAAATGATCCATAAAGGTACAGACACACATGTCCGCTCCGCGTCCGTGCCGGGGCACATCCGTATGTCGCATCGGCCGTCACTTGGAGAACAAAAAGTTGAGACAGGATTGCTTAGTCCCAAGGTTTTCAAACGTACGAAATTCCTCGAACAACCACAAAACATCCCCCTGTCATGTTAAGAAATGAAAGTAAATAATAAAGCGCCTCTCGTGTTTGTTCGCACTCTAAAAATTTCAATTAATACCTGTATATATTTTTAATATATACAGGGTGGCGCACCTCATTCGCCTCGGTTGATTATACGAAAACGAAAAGATATAGAAACGAAATATTTTTTTCGGAAGGCAATGTGCACAATTTAAAATTATTTTGAAATGTACAGGGTGTTTCAGAACTAAGATCCATACCAAAGTTGTATTTTTTCTTATGGAACACCCTGTATTTTATTTCATTTTTGGATTCTTGGGCCCAAAAAAATATATTTATTATAAGGGTTAAATATGTTTAAAATCTTTGGTTTTTAAGATATTTAAAAATATTTGAAAATGCATGCTACAATAGAATAGATTATTAACACCCTGTACATTGAATTAATTCTTGTGCTGATTTGTAAGCCAGAGAAATAAACTTTACTAAAAAATTTAATTGCATTGTTTAATGTATACAGGGGTATCAAAAATTGCTGGTCTGTTTTAAATATTTACTTTTATGTAGGAAATTTTTTTACAGCGAAATATGATATTTTTACCTGTCTGTGTGGGAGGAAAAATTGTACGTTTGGCAAACTAAAATTAATTCCGTCTGGTATATGCCTCGTCTCGATGATGTGCCACGTTTATGTTGTTTTTTCGGACGATGGTAGACACACGGTTATGCCTCGGCACGGATTTGTGTGTCCGGACTTTTATAAGAATTTGCGAAAAAGCGTTAAGCTCCGTCTACACATAATGTTTTAGCTGTTCAGTCAAAACGTAACAAGTAAAACCTTTTGTGTAGACGAAAAAACGGTCCGTTTTACATAAACTGAATTAAGACGGAAGATTGATCTAGAGAACGGAATGAATCATTCGGTTTTTTTTATCAAAACGACCGTTTTGCCTACACTGAAAAAAAAAAATAAGTAAATTTACCAAAAATAATATGGATATATTATTACAGCATACTTAATAAGCGACTTTTCAAAGTAATATTTTTGCATAGTTTCACAAAATAATGTAATTTTACAAAATTTTAGAGATATTTAATGATTACCAAACGATACTATTTTTACAATTAGCTTTGAGTGCTTACGAATGAAATTTAGGTCATAAATAAAATATTGTATACATAATACAAATCTTCTAGTGTATACGCTAGTTTTTAATCCGTCTTACCTAACAGGTAAAACGTTACGTGTATTCGTGTATATGGCTTTAGATAATACGGTCGTGTAACAGCGCTTTCAGATGGAGCGGAGCGTCCGCGCTGTTTTTGCGCTGCTTGTTTTTTCAAGATAGCCACCAGACGAAATCATCCGGACGGAGCATACGCGATCCATGTGAAATTGTTCATTTAAACTCATGGAACTCGCGGACGCTCCGCTCCATCTGAAAGCGCTGTAAAAGTTATTGGTGTTATATAAATTCGACTCGACTTATTACCATTGGGATCTCAGAAACAGTAGTAAATACAGAGTGGCTCAACAAACTTACATGTCAATAAGTACAAGGATTACCCGTTAAAATAGTTGAACCTATCTGTTCATTCATCGTTTCCATAAATATGGCGGAAAATATTTATACTAAAATTAATATATGTAGTGGTAGGGGTAGTTTTCACCTTTCCCGTACTTTTTCTTGATTTTTGTAAAAGTCAAATGTTAACGCACTTAGCAAAATATACCGTGCTGGCAACTGTTACTCTTGGATCGGTATTTACATGTGTGGAAGTAAATCGTTTCTCTTATTACACATTCTGAACCGTCCTAGAACTGTGATGCGTATGCGCAGAAGGAAATATGAAGACATTATTTCATTTGCGCATGCGCTGCAGAGTTCTAGGACGGTTCAGAATCGGTAATAACAAGAACCCGAACAAAGCTTGGGTCGACCGGTCACTACGACAAATCTGCTATATCCCCTTCCACGTCTCTCAATGTGCATTGTTTCTCGATTCATTTCATACGTTTGGCAACGTGTTTGCTGTTCTCTCTTTGTTCAGTACATTATAAACGCATACTCTTCTTATACATAAGGAAATCTCGACCCAAGACTAACCTTTGCCAGCCCTTGGTATAGACACCAAAAATCTCATTAAAATCGGAATAACGGTTCTTAAGGTATCTGAAAAAATGTATTTACTTTTAAAAAGTTTGATGCCCTCTAACAGACAAATGAAGTACTTTCGTATAGAGGTAAATTGTGTCCAATGAACTTATGTTGATTCCAAAAATACGTAGTAAGTAGTTCCATGATACAAAGAATACAAGGTATGATATTGCGCAGGTTGGTCACTACGTCACTGGTGATAAACGGCACCATTGGTTGGCAAACTCCGCGCGCCAATTTCAAATTGTCATACAGATGACACAATAAATGAGAAAATAATTTTTCTCGACGATTTGACATAACTTTTGGAGTTATGTCCTAATTCTTCCGTATTTTAGGTCTTTTTTTATTAGTGGCAATTGAACAATATGGATATTTTCTTGTATGACGCATGACGTCACAGGTGGTATGCGCAAACTTAACGAAATTGGAGCCGCTATCGATTATACCTTGTTTTCTTTGTACCATGAAGTAGTTCTATGTCCACGGAATATTGGGAACAGGGTGTCCCAAGAAATGGGACGACACAGTTGGTCTTACAGGTGGCTGTTTCCGACACAAGACAGGCCCTTATTAGAAAAAAGGATGAAACCAAAAAAGCGTCTTTGAGTAATATATTCCGGTTTTTCCGCCATATTTCCGGAAACGACACAGATAAATTTAAACACTTAACGGATTATTATTGGGCTCATTGACACGCAACTTGGCCCCAATTTGAGCCGCCATTTTTTACCTTTTCCGAGACCCTAATGATGAGAGTCGCATTTGAAACGCCCGGTATATTTTTGTTACTTACACCAAAGAAGAATCCTGTGAAGCTACGTCAACAGTTTCGATAGTCTTAACTTGAGGAACGTTCAAAATAAATTTATCATTTCTTATAACGTTAGGAACATTCTGATTTGACAACGCCCCAAACCTATTCACGTAGTTACTCTCACGTATTTTCACTTGCTTGGGCTCAGGTCTAGCATAATTCTCTATATTTTTAGCCGATTCCTCATTAACCTGCACCGACGAGGTTTTGCTGTTATTTTTCACCAAATAATCGTTAGACAACAACAAATTTTCGGCCAAGTTCACACCAGAAACACTCGAACTGGCATCGACGAGCAAGTGATGGTACTTATTGTCGTTATCGTCTTTTTGTGGAGTGAGGTCGTAGTCAGAATTCAACAATTTCGAGTCGATAAATTGTCTGTAAGTCCTTCTAGTGAGTTCTAGAATATTCTCGATCGAATTTTCGTCATCTAGTGAGTGTAGGTTAAAGTCAAACGCAAATCCAGCGTCACCTATAGGATCAATGACAGGAACTCCTTCGTGGTGGCTGGAGTCCATGGTAAAAGTCCTGTGACTAGCGTTACTAGCCTCTGACTGAACACTACTTCTTCTCTGTGTGTTTTCATTACTTCCTTTATTAAAAATAACCAAAGGTGGCTGTGTATCAAGCAGAGCTTTCAGAATATATACTGGGCCTTTTATCATAACAAAATCTTCATCTTTGAAATTACCTTTCAGAATTATCTGTATAGATGTTTCTTCTTGGTTTGACTCCGTTGGTATTTCTGGTAAAGTCGGACATTGTACTAAGGACGGACTTAGAGAAATGCTTTTTAATGAAGAATTTTGATCAGGAACATTGGAAGAGCGCCCAGATAAAAGTATTTCTTTTTCTGAGTCTTTGCATAAGTTTACGTTTAAATATAAACAGTTTACAGAGTGCTCATCGTTAATATCATCATTTTCAGGCTTTTTATCATTTTTTTCTATGATGATGGCACTATCTTTTTTTGAAGTGTGACTTTCGATACTTTGTACAGTCACTGAAACCACAGATTCTGGTTTATTTGAACTAGTCCTTCCCGTATCACAGATTTCTTTTTGTGTTGAATTTGAAATTGTTTTTGCAATTGGTGGTTTGGGTTCTTCAGGTAATTCTATGATTTCGTCTTCCACTGGTTTGAATTCAACCACAACAGTTTTGGAGGTTTCCAGTTTTGGTGTGGATGTTATGTTACTTAAGTTTTCCAAAAATTCTGTTCCGTTTTCTGGAATAATTGTAATGTTGCTGTCCTTTGATGGAGCCGTTTGGTTTTCCTGGGTTATTGTGACGTTACTTTCTCTAGATGGAGTTTCTAGTTTTGGAAAATGGGTGCTTGAAACATTTTCAATCTCTAAATCTGAAATATCAAATAAGTATGAAACTTTCCAATTAGTTTGAATAGGGAGTCCCAAATTTGATGGTGAATACTGGGATCTTGGAAACCATGAAAAATACGAAGAAGGTCAAATTAAGGTATAAAGTACTTTGTAAAGAAAAAATAATAACAAATAAAATAGAGAAAAAAATAATAGAAAACTTCTCAAATCACCCTGGTAGTATTATAATAAGCCAATACGTACTTTCTGCAATCACCTCGTTAGAATTTAACTTTTCCACAAACGCATCGAAATCTAGTAACGGTGTTATTTCAAAATCTCGACAGTTCTTCGATTCGTCTTTCGTGTGAGGCGAATCTACAGTACTAGTCGAAGGTACGGGTTCAGTACATTCACTCACCCTACCTAAATATCATGATAATTACATTTAAATTACAATTTTGTTAGAATAATTGAGTAAAAAGACTAAGGAAGGAGTATATCAACAACAGTATAGTTTAAAGTTCTCTCGAAATTCTAAATTCAAAAATTTATCATTCTTTTTGAAGGGAAATCCCACATAATAATGTTCTTCAAAATTCAGCTACTAAAATGGGCTCTTTCACAAAAAATAAAATGTCCAATTCAAGGACAAAATCTGAAATAGAAGTCTATTTTCAGTAATTTATCCAAAAAAAAATAGTTCCATGATATTGAATAATTTTTTTATAGGCCCTCAAAATTGCTTTAATTTGAAATAATTTTAAAGCGCCAATTGATGACGTATGAAAAATACGCCCAATCACATTGCAGAACCGTGCTCGTGCGCCAGCCAACAACTGGCAACATTGCGATTTGATTTGACCAGCACCACCTCAACTCAAGGCCAATCAACATGATAGGGGCAAGGCAAATATGGCGGCGAAGGCAGCGTATTATTAAATTGTTTACCTTTAACCTGAAAATCCGGTAGTGGTTTCTCGTTCCGATTGCGTACCAGAAATAATTAATTATCTCTAGTTTGTTGTGCTTCTGCAACACGTTTGTTTAGTTCTTAGTGTTCAGTGTATGGTGTGATCAGAAAATTGTGATAAAATAACAGTGTAATAAAAATCCAAACCAGACATTCCACATAGGGAACTTCAAACTTTTGTGCTTGTCGTACTCCTCTATTATTAATTATTTTAAGAGAAGAAGAAGTATTTATCAAGAGATTACACCTAAATGAGTAAAAAGCCTTCGCCGCCAGTCTGCATAGTACTTTATAATGGTTACTTACAATAATCAAAAGATAGGTATTAAAGGGTTGGTATTAACATTGTATTGTAGCATGCCTTTACATGCTCTGTTCCAAATTATCATGGGAATTATAGAGGGGGTCCCAAGGTTTCTGCTTTTATATTCCCCAAAAATGACAAGCTTCGTAAAAAATGGTTGACAGCTATTAAAAGAGATAATTTCACTCTAGTAATTCTCGGGTAAGAAGTGCATTAAATATGCCTCAAAAAGGCCAAAGGCCCCAAAGCCTCTGTTACCCTAGTGAGGATGTAGTTATGGCTACTGCTTACACTTACCTCACTATAAGTAAAATATTGGAAGAAGAATCAAGCTTTTTACATCAAAAAGATTACAGAAAGATATTGACAACATTGACATTTGAAAATATAAATGGCCTGGATGTAAGTCTTTTTTTAGGTCACAATTGCCCCTCACATACGTCAGAATTTATTATTAAATCCATCTTGTTCAGAATATCAAGAGAATATCCAATATTTTATTGAAGAACTATGCAAAAAAAAGTAATGACGTCTTTACCACAAAGACAATGCCCTATGTAAAGAGAAAGAGCAAAGAAAACTAAGCTAAGCGTAAGTTTTACTTACGAACCCCCAAAAAGGTAATTAGTTTTTTTTCTATATAAAATCTTGAAACACATATTAAATTTTTTATTTATCCTTACCTATTATAGTTTAAATTTATTCCCATTTGTGTAATGCTGCAAAACATAGAAAAAATATTCCAAATTTTTTGACCCAAGCCAGTGTAGTTTATAATTCCAAGAGCATTTACCAAGGCTTTTACTAAGACAAGTAACTTCCTATACTGTCCATAATAGTATATATTTATCAAACGTTCAGTAAATTCTAAACTATGGTAGGTAAGTGTTTGCAATTGAATATTTAGTTTATATTGCTATTTTCTGTCATACATTTCTGGTTATTTCTTTTTCCGATGATTTTGAACACCCTATATATGCTACCTCAAGTTTGAATATTTTAACACTACCTATTTTCTGAGAAAGCAGACCGTTTTATAAAAAGTAACTAACTGATGTTTTCGTAAAAGTAATAATACAAAACATTCCATACTTATGTGGAGAACTTTAGACTTCCTGTATATTAAAAAATTAGTGAAATATTACGTAATCTAACCCGACATTTGTATAATAAGCACTTCTATCTCCGCCATATTGGAAAAGGTTGAATGGCCTTGTGTGGAGGTGGTGGTGGGTCAGCATGGTGGCCCGGCCGCTGCCGTGTTGCCGCTTTTCAACATGCCAGGTGTGACGTATTAAAAATAAGTGCGGATTTTTATTCTGGGCTTTTTTGTTTTTATTTATTTTCTTAAGAACGACTTCAAATTTTTCAAAAGTGAGATAGCAGAACATTCTAGAATTAATTGCTTTATTCAATTATGCTAATTCCAAAATATAGTGAAAGAGCCCATTGGAAATATCAAAGAACGCTGAATGCAATCATAAAAATGACCAAAATCACGTTGTCAAAGTAATATTTCACTCCTTTTTTAGTCATTCAAAGAATAGAATTATATCATTAAATTTACTTACTCAAGCTTAATTTTTCGAGCACTTTCAACAGACTAGGACTGACAGCAATATTATTTTCTGCGTCATTTTCTTGTAAAGGCCCATCTCCTCCCATAAATTGGTTTCCCAAGGAGTGGATTTTGTGAAGCGAAGAACTTCTCAACATCGAACATTCGTCGCAGTTCCTAAACGCTTGGTTGTTTAAGTAAAGCGCGTGAGGTTTGCTTGTGTTTAAATCGGCTTCGGTTTTCGGGGGTAGCTCATATTCTGGACAAGTTAAGTTCAGCTCTTTGCACAGGTTGGAGATATGAAAGCGCATTTTTTGCTGAAGGCCAGAGAAATATATCAGTTGAGAGTGATAAATATTCAAGTGTAAAAGGCTCAGATAAATAATGTAAATAGAGAAACTTTACTGTACCGGGTAGCCAACTAAGAATGGACGCCGGCTGTATCTCAGAAACTGCTTATCGTACAACTTTGGGGAAAGTTTAATTTTTTTAGTTATGTCAAAATATCAAAACGTTTAAGTTCAGTTTTCATGCATGCGAATTTCGGGCGTTATCTTAAAAAATTGACGTCATAAAAAATTTAAACGTAATCATCCATCCATATAATTTTTACCAATTTCTTGGTTAATTATACGTAGGTAGTTCTCAGATTAAAATGTCCGAAAGTCGGACAATCAATAATTTTATTAAAATTTCTAGGAATTTTGTGCCGCCATATTGCTTTTAACAGAAAACGGCCGAATTTTGTATGGCCGAAAACTAGGGGTTTATTTCATGTACGGTCATTACAGGCTATTAGTTATTAATCCAACTTAGTCCTTGATTTCACTGTTTTCGTGTTTTACCTGTTTTTTGTGTTATTTGTAATTTATTATTATATTATAACATTTTTGTCGTTTGGATCACCTTTCATATAGCACCGAAGCCGAAGGTGCGAATCTTAACAATATGCACTACTGGTCCACATAATGGTGCAAGTAGTTCGGCACCAAGACCGTTGGTCCGTAAATGTTTACGCAGGAATTCTAGGATAGCGAATGATTGGACCTTTTTAATTGTCTGAATGAAATGAACTGTCCATAATTTCTAAGAAATAAATTTCCAATTTTGTTAGGGGATCCATCATATCAGCATATATAGCAATAACAGCATGAATGCAGTTGGTGCAGTTGTGCCGCTCATTTTGCTATGAATGTGTGGGGCTTCTTGGATACCACTTACTTTAATAGATAGAGACGCTGGAGCGGCATATTTCCATGGCCAGCTAGGTCATCGGATTCAATATGCCTGGGTTTTAATTTATGGAGTCGAATCAAGAACGAACATGGATAAATAACAATTAAATGGTATTAAAATGAAATTTAAATATATGTTTTGATGTTTTGATATATTGACGTAACCAAGTTTTGTTTTCTAGCCTACTACTATAATTTTTAGACTATTATAATCCTAAGCGGAAGCCTAACATGATTTGTTCTCTTAATATCTCCGGTTAGAAAGAAGATAGAAAGTTGCGGTTTGCGCTAATATTTTGGAAATTTTGTGCTCTATTATTTAAGGGTGCAAATAGAAATATAGCCTCCTATTTAATTTTTGTATGCAAAAGTGCAATATCTGTTATGATGTCAAACAGCGCCCTCTAGCTACCATGAGAAAAATTATGGAAACAAAATTTATACTGGAAATCATTAAGGAAGAAAAGCTCTTTTAAACGAGCCCTAGTTTGTTTAAATCGGGTAACCCAAACCACAGAGTTATCCTTATTTTAATAAAAGCAAATTTAAACTTCCCCCACCACTTTATTTTATGAGATAGAGCAAAATACTCTATATCAAAAAAATTACAAATTTCTTGATGATTACAATAGTAATATTTAAAATACCTGTTCACCTGCATATTTTTGAGAAAAACCCTGTTTTCTGATTGGCTATCAGAGAAACGCCCTCTAGCGGACATTTTTCGAACTTGAAAATAATTTCCAGCGATTTCTGTTAGTCGATTTACTTATTAGAATTTTTTTCCCAAAGTTATACGATAATTAGTTTCTGAGATACAGCCGGCGTCCATTCTTAGTTGGCCATCCGGTACAAAACGAAGGTAGCCAAGATACACAAACTAGATGTAAACAAAATGCTAGGTTGTCAATTATTTAAGAAAAAAGTTTTTTAATGAAACGTGTGTGGGGGTGATTTTTATGAAGAGCTTGAAACTAGAGAAAAGGATTATATTACGACTGTTGTCAAATCAAATCGTCATACACTAACGTTTTGTTTATAGTTTGCTTGTATATATTGGGTCAAAATAAATCAATGTACACTTTTATATTTTTTCAGTTAAAAAAACGAGACTTGGTATGTTAGTATATGACATAAATTAGGATTGATTGACGTATTCAATTGTTTTCGGTCGCTTCCTGTTTCACCGGAAATGACTACAACTTTTGATTTTTAAATGTTAATTTTTAATTTTTAATTATTTCTACTTTATTCGATTGAAAATAATATTCTGAATAGAATGACATATCATATGTCAACCTTTTGACATTTTCGAATATGGTTAATTTGAAATTACAACATGCGGTTGATAACAAAAATTTGACTCGAAATACCAAGTGTGTGGTGTCAAATTATTTGTAAAAAAATGCTTTTTCCAAATATGCTAACGAGCCACCCTCGTTCCATTTGAAAAATTTGAGATATTAAAAATACGATTTGGCATCTTTTAACTGACCAGGACAAAACACTAAACACTAAAAACGATAAGACGATCAAATCTATTTTTCCAAGGGTCCTTGATTAAAAATTAATGTTTATAAGATTGAAATTTAAAATACGATTTTTTTTACAGCGAAAATGTCAGAAGTTGACATATGATATGTCATTCTATTCAGAATTCAATGTCGTTTTCTATCGAATAAAGTAAAAAAATACCTAGGGTGCTATTTAAAAATGAAAAGTTGTAGTAATTTCCGGTGAAACAGGAAGTGACCAAAAACAATTGAATACGTCAATCAATCCTAATTTATGTCATATACTAACATACCAAATCTCGTTTTTTTTATCTGAAAAAATAAAAAAGTTATAGGGGGTGAGCCACTTTTGAGACGCACCCGGTATAGTTAGTCTTTTGTATGTGTCTATAATAAAGTATTTTTCATAATTCTCAATATTATGCACAGAAGAAAATTATTTGTTTTATTTTTTACTCGATTTTGAACCAAAATTCCAAAAAAAATATTTGTATTGAACTATGAAATACCCTGTGTAGTTTTAGTTATTTATACGTACCAGGTCTAATCTTTGTTTATTGGCCTCTATATGGAGTCTGAATACTTGCTTGATATCGTTGTTTGAGTAAAAATCGTTTACTATAATATCCTCAGTGATTCTGAGGAGAAACAGTAAGTACTGGTGATCTTCGGTACTGAAATAGATATCCAAAACAATTACATTACATTATTATTAAATTTATTTTTCCTAAACACTTTATATTCTCTTTTTATTAAAAAAAAAATCAAAATATACCTGGTTTTCAAAAAACTTCTGCTAGATATTGCTTCTACGTCTTTTTTATCGTCCATTTTTGGATTGTGAACTTTCTGATGAACCTCCTTTTCGCTACAGTCAAGTTCTTCTTGTTTTTCTGTAATATTTTCAATTTCCGTATCATTACTTTTCGTGCTAGATAACGAAACACGCTTTTTATGTCTTATCCTAAACATTTTCTCATTTCTTCTTGAAGAACCTGCCGAGAATGATCTAGTAGGTAACTAAAAATAATCAGAAAATAAAATTTACATAATTTTCTTAATGGAACCTGAGTTTTTACTGTTTCGTTGGGAGTTACAGTAGGATTTCGTCTCGTAATAGGCCTGGAATTAGAGGCTTGACCTCTCAGATATCCCTCACTTTTGGTTTCTGAACTGAGACAATTGTGTCTCCTTACCTCGCCTCTACTTTTTGGCGTTTGAACAGGAATATTATACACTTTTCTAGCAAGAAAATAATAATTAACCAAAGGAAAGCTATATTAAACTGAAATACGTACCTCAAATGTTCGTTTGTAGCTCCTTTTGTACGTTTGTCCCAGTAATGCATGGCCATGGGTGATTTCAGCAAGCTCTGAGGAACAGAAGTATCAACAACGCTTTTAACATTTTTCAGCATTTTATAATGATTTCTCATGTGAAAATAAACATTTATATCGTTGAAATATGTTAGAGTCATCTTTACTAATAAATTTAATGTGAAATATTGAAACAGAAACAGCAAAAAGGGAAAAAAAGTTCAATCACAACAAACGCAGATTAGGTTGCGCACTTTTTAAATATTTTATTCAAATCTATAAAATCTTATGAACATTAATAGTGCTTGTTGTTTTACTTACCTTTTTTTTAGTTAAAAAATTCCAGAACGTATTGTAAACATTAAACTTTTGAATGAAGGATTTTCAAAATTGAATTTTAAATTTTTTTGATAGGTGCCAAAATTTCTTCTTCTTTTCTATATTCTAATATTTAACCTAATAAACTCAAAAGAAGAAGAATGGGGCCGTATAGTCCAGGCAGCTAAAGGCCGTTAAACTGAAGGAAAAAAAAAGAAGAAGAAGTCAAGTTCTGTGCTAAACTTCACTCCAATAGCTTTCAAATCTTTTATTTGAATTTTTAGTCGTTTGAAGTTTGAATTATTTTTATTTTCAATATTTTTTCCAGTTGTGATTAATAATCTTCTGTAATTAAGTAACTTTTTAGTATTTACATTACATAAACAAATTTAAAAATAAAACTATGCTGTTTATAACTTATAACACCTTTATTTTGTTAAGAAAATTACTAACAATAAGTAAATGCTCACAATGAACTTCATCATATATTACTTTAACTTATATAAAATTGGAATGAAGGCACAATATAAAAGGTTAAAAAAAGAAAATATAACTATAAAATTTACAGTATAAATAAATATAACTTGCGGGTTCCTGCCGATCTTAAAGGATAATAATTGTAATAATTTTATATAGGTTTTAAAATGAGAAATTTAGCCTGACATCACTAATTTCACAAATTCTTCATAATTTACGTTACCTTGTGAATCTTCTTGTCCTTGAAGAAGTTCACCAACCTACAAATAGAGTTATACTGTTCATGAACTTATATTAATTAAAAAAAACAACTCACTTCATCATCAGTCAATTTTTCACCCAGCGTTGTTAACAAATGACGAAGTTCTGCAGCACTGATGAAGCCATTGCCATCCTTATCAAAGTGACGAAGACCTTCAATGAAATCTTCTGCAGTATCTGCTGCCCTTGTTTTGGAAATTTGCTACAAAAGTTTATTTTTATCAATCTCAAGTGGTTTCTGATAACTATTAATCATAAATCTATTTATATTACCTGGTAGATGGGTAAAAACACTTCGAAAGACACTCTCTCATCAGGTTTATATTGATGTGTGTATTTCTTCACGTCTGATTCAGTTGGATTTTGTCCAAGAGCCCTAAGAGCATCTCCAATTTGAGCCACGTGAATCTTGCCATCACCTCTGTTGTCAAATAAGTAGAATGCTTCTTGAAACTCTATAAAATAATGTAAAGATCTTATTAGTCACATAGGAATGCAGAAAGGTATAATAGAGTCCACCTTCGACAGTTGTTAAGCTTAATTTTGAAGGAGGCTCATACAGATACATTTTTGATAAGGGTATTGGTGAAATACTAACTGTATTTTACAAGAGAACATCTGTCTCGATCTCCCCAAGCGGCCTGGTAATTGAGAAATCGCGCCTTATTTGGTATAAACCAGAAAATAAAATGATTCACTTTAAAAGGAATAACATTCACGTACTGCGTTCTCACTTTCTTGATCAGTTTAACTTAATCAAAAAGCGTTTAAAATTAGTTAAAGCCAAAAACAAATAACTAAATAATGTGCGAATCGGTGTGATTAACAAACTAATTAGATTTTTTCCGTAAAATACAGTCAGGATGTCTCCAAAAAATATAAATTTTAGGATCAAAATTCAAGCGAGATGGAACGATAAGGTAAGGTAAGGCGGGGCAACATAGCCTAGATTTTTTCAACTTACCGGCCATCTGATCCTCTGTGTAGTTCGCCTGCAAAACACAATAAAAATATAGAATTACCTGAATGTTTTCTCAAAGTTTCTTGATAAAATTGTGCAGTTTTTTAAGAAATATCCTTACCATTTTGCTTTGACGTTGATAACAAAACAACGGATGAGAGAGACGGTTAACGAAATGTAAAATGAAATGACGTCAGGCTGTAGGCATCATGTAGGCATCTGTAGGTATTTACGGTTGCGGGAAATTCGAATCTACGAATAGGAGAGTTTGTTTAATAACGGATTTTCTAAAAAACGGGTGATAGATTGAACAAGATATCCGGATGACGTCAGAATGTACGAGATTCTAACGTCTATAAAGTAATAAGAACGTTAAAAATGGTGTTTTGTACATTGAACTTTAACCTTTTTTGTTGGACATACGCGAACGAGGCGTTTTTGAGGAATGCGAACTGGTTAATAAATAGACCTTCGTTTTTTTTCTGTATTCAAGCAATTTTATCCACCTCACCCACTGGTTACTCTGGTTAGTACAAGGATAAGTGACCTATTAAGATAAATACATATTTAAATATGAAAATTCTTTAGTTTTTTATCGTTTTATTTGACTGTAAGATCACTAAAATACCATTTTATAATACAGGGTCCGGCAATAGTGCGTCTTGCATCTGTTGTAGCTCCTAGAATAAAAAAAAAAACCTGTATACTTAAGTTTACTAGTAGCTAATAGGTATTAAAAAACCCATTACAAAAGTATCACAGTTTCATCAGAATGACATCATTAAATGAAACTGAACATATCGAAATTAATTAAATCAAATTGTTTAAGTGCATGTATATTATGTTCAGAAGTCAATAACTCGGAAACGGTTGGTTTGAGGTAGGTACATTGTGTGTATTCCAATTTTTGCTGAGCATTGAAGGAAACATTTGCAATAATATACAGGGGGTTATATTTAAAAAAATGAAACTTTGATGTGCCACGACTTTATGACGGACCCTGTATACTTAAATTTATTACTCGTTAATTGATATTTAAAAATCCTATACAGGGTGTTTCAAAACAAATGCGAAAAACTTCAGGGGGTGATTCCTTGTTCAAAATAAAGGGTAGTTTGCTTCATAAACGTTGGGTCAAAAGTCAACCATTAGGGAGATATTGCGGTACAAAGATGGCGGAAAAATAATGTTTTTATTTTTTATCTTGAAAACGAAAAGAGATAGACTAATAAAATTTTATGGAAGCATTACTGTTATGAAAACACCTTTCTGGTAATTTTTTCACTTTTTTAAAATGAGTGGAAGGGGTTGAAATAAACTACCCCTATCATTCTTGTTAACGAAATTTAAAGAAAAATCTTATCAAACACATGCAAAAAAATTAATTTGGATAGTTTAGTTTCTTTAGAAACTTTTTTATCTCTTGTATTTTTTTGATAAAACTCACCGATTTGAAATTAAAAAATAAAATGTAAAGCATTACATGTCAGGACAAAAAACATTTTCTGATAAAGTATCTAGTGGGCTGCTGTAATTTTTTTAGGAAAAAATCTAGTCGGCCGCTGTTACTTTTTAGGATATTCCTAATATTATTTTATTTGACCATTACTCTACTGCAATACGTTATTATCTAGATGATTATTATTATCGTTATTAATGTTATTATCACTAGATTCTTAATCTAAAAATGTTTTTTGTCCTGACATGTAATGCTTTACATTTTATTTTTTAATTTCCAATCGGTGAGTTTTATCAAAAAAACACAAGAGGTAAAAAAGTTTCTAAACCAACTAAACTATCCAAATTAAAGCATTTGCATGTGTTTGATAAGATTTTTCTTTAAATTTCGTTAACAAGAATGATAGAGGTAGTTTATTTCAACCCCTTCCACTCATTTTAAAAAAGTAAAAAAAATACCTGAAAGTGTGTTTTCATAACAGTAATGCTTCCATAAAATTTCATTAGTTTATCTCTTTTCGTTTTAAAGATAAAAAATAAAAACATTATTTTTCCGCCATCTTTGTACCGCGATATCTCCCTAATGGTTGACTTTTGACCCAACGTTTATAAAGCAAACTACCCTTTATTTTGAACAAGGAATCATCCCCTAAAGTTTTTCGCATTTGTTTTGAAACAACCTGTATAACTTTTGTATACAGGGTTGTTCACCACATACGACACGGAGTATTGTAGCTAAACGATGAGATTTTTACAAATTATAAGTTTTGGGTTCGTTGAAAGACTATTAGAGCTACAATATAAAAATATGTTTACAAGATACAGAGTGTCCCAAAAATAAGTAAAAAATATTAAGTTGTATTTTTTTAAATGGAATACCCAGTATATTATTCTATTTTTGGATTCTACGATTGAAATAAAGGTAAATTTGATTAAGGTTTATCATACTTAAACCTTACCGTTTTTGAAATATTTTCAATTTTATGAAATTGCAGTAAAAATTTTAAGGCTTGATTTCTCCAAGGGTATCAAAGTTTTTAATACTCAATATTTACTGAAGATTATTTATTGATCAGATATTGTGTTGCAATAATACAAATTTTACTACCTTATACAGAGTGTCCAAAAATTTATATTAAATAATTACTAGATTTAAACGGGAATAACTTGTTTAATTTAAATGGAACACCCTGTATGTTTTACGTGAATCATATGCAAAATTTAATTGTCTATCAAATTTTATTATACCATTTTTTACCTATCTTTTCAAGTTTTCCTAGAAAATGCATTTTCTTATAATTTAGACCTCATTTATCACTATACCCATGGAATATTGACATTTCAGATTTTTTTAAAGCAACATATTGTACAAAATGTACAGGTGGTAAATATTGCAAGCCCATTGGTATACAAAAAAAAACTATTTAAATCTTTGTAAAAGAGTATACCAATTAAATATACCACCATTATTTCTGACCAAAAATTAGTTAATTACATACTTCTAAATTGTTTTAATTAATAAAGTGTTCTAAATAAATGTGGATTTGGCTCAGAAATCAATATAATAATAAGTTGTGAAAATGAACGTCTCTGTTCTTATAAGGAAGCATTCGTCAAGAGATGAAATAAAATTTATAAGGTGTTACTTTTTACCACACTGTCTAATACACACATAAAATTAATTTTTTGAGTATTTGGAGCAATTATTATTAATCAACGTAAACAGTCAATTAATGTAGTTTGAATACTGGGATCATATTAATTGGTCCTCTTTAACAAAAAATATTTAAACATTTTTTTTATTTTTTAATGAAATAAGCGAACTCTATCGACAATATTAGTATCTGTACTCTGTGAAAATTTGTTACATATTTAAAAATGATCTAAAATGTCAATATTCCATGGATATAGTGATAATGAGGTCTAAATTATAAGAAAATGCATTTTCTACGAAAACTTGAAGAGATGGGTAAAAAATGGTATAATACAATTTGATTGACAATTACATTGTGCATCTGATTCACGTAAAATATATAGGGTGTTCTATTTAAATTGAACAAGTTATTGCCGTTTAAAGCTAGTAATTATTTACTATAAATTTTTGGACACATATGTATGAGGTAGTAAAATTTTTATTATTGCAATTTTCAATAAATATTTAGTATTAAAAACTTAGATACCCTTGGAGAAATGAAGCCTTAAAATTTTTACTGCAATTTCATAAAATCGAAAATATTTCAAAAACGGTAAGGTTTGAGTGTGATAAACCTTAATCAAATTTACCTTTATTTTAATCGTAGAATCTAAAAATAGAATAATATACAGGGAGTTCAATTTAAAAAAATACAACTATAATATTTTTTACTTATTTGGGACACTCTGTATCTTGTAAACATATTTTTAAATTGTAGCTTTAATAGTCCTTCAACGAACCCTAAACTTACAATTTGTAAAAATCTAATCGTTTAGCTACAATACCCCGTGTCGTATGTGGTGAACAACCCTGTATTTTTACCTAATAATCGACCGTTTCCATACTAACTGCAACCCTGTATGTATAATTATGTATAATTATATGGGAAATGTAATCGATCGTCATTTCCAAGTCAACTGGACGCTGTTTTCTTTTTCGACCATACGGTACAATACAAAATCAGTCGTTTCAATATGTCGTCGGAAATCGGACTCCACCTTTATGTCTGTTCTTCCTGTCAATTGTATTCGTTCTATTTCCTCTTTCCCACTGTCTCCCAGTCTCTCGCAAACACGCTCTCCTTGGATATTTTTAAACGCGTTATTGTAACCGATACCGGAAACATCCTGTCTATGAGATTTTTACCGAAAAGGAAACCCGCCATTATCGACTATTTTCTTCTGGGTGAAAACTGGCCGAATGTCACATTCTCGGCCAGTATGAAATATCAAGGTAGCGAGACCGTGACTCGCTGAATTCGTTATACACGCCCGCGATACAGTTCTAAGTTCTAGTTCTCCACCTTAGCGGCGATTTTTTCAGGGCGTTGCCATCTTTGTTGTTCCATTTTCCGTTTTATCGCCGTTATTATTGTTTTTTTTTCTAAGAAATGCTGTCTGTAGAATAAAAAGGTTCTTTTTCCCACGGCGACAACTAGACTACCTACTGTCTTTTTTGACAGATTAGCTTAGATTTTATGCTGGATGTGGGTGGCTAAAGGCCTGTTACACCGACCCAAGCAGCATTTGGACGTCGGGACAACGTTGTGTCTCGCGACCAAACGTCGGGACGCAACGTCGGCACTCTGCCAACCCTAGTCTGCACTAGTTTGGAGAATAATTTTTGGGTCGAAACGACGTTGGATACCGACGTTAGCTAGAAGCCTAATTTAGTACAAA